TATGAAAATAAAATAGAAAATTATTTTTATATTAAAAATATAAAATTAATATTATATATATATATATGATATTATTTAAATATATATACAATACATTATAATTATAAATTTAATATACAATATAACATTAGTTAGGCCAGCTACTTTCTAAGTATTTCCATCATCCTTAAAAAACCAAAAAAACTTTTGTCGTCATGGTTTAAGAGTCAAGATGATAAAATGTAATGATTTTTCAAACAAGCATCGAAGTTGGGCAGCAGTGATCAGTCAAAACATGGTGTTATATCTTAAAAAACAAAAATCATTTGCTCATATGGCATCTATTTTTGTATTACATCTACGCCCAAAAATCTAAAAATAATTTAAGCCATCATTCAAGGGTGGAGATGTTGGAACTAAGTCTTTTCTTAAGTATCAAATTAGAGCACTGATGATCAATTATAATTCATTGTTTTCAATCAAAAAATGAGAGTTCGTGTCTAAAATAAACGCCGTTGGTTCGTCCAACCAATATTTCAACATTGCAGCCATGACCAAAAATCTTAAATAAATTAAAGCTGTGATTTGAAAATAGAGGATGAAATATGGTTCTAAGCGGGGGTCAGGACAAAGCACCAGTGGTGAGCTATAGTCCACTATTTCTAATTTAAAAAAAAAAAAACGAGCTTACACGTCAAAATTAGGAGTGAATACTGCATGTGTCGGGCGTATGCGCAGAACGTGGTATTGGTGTGATACTGGGAGCTATTTTCCACCATCTTTAATTAATAAACTGGATTGCACAAGAAAAACATAATTTGATCATTCAGTTGATGTTTTAAAAAATGCATTAAGAAAATCAATGAATTCATGGTTGATGATTGATATGATACAATTTGGCCATTTTTCACGCGGGCGCCGGTTAGAGCACTAGTGGTAAGCTTTAGTCCATTATTTTCAATCAAAAAATAGTGTTAATCATAAAAAAAAAAGATTTTTGACCCATCCGGCCACTATTCTTGCATTGCAAGCACACCTAAAAATCTAAGAAAATGAAGTCAATATCTAAGGTTCAAAATGATATAATATGATCTTTTTTTTCAAATGGGAGTTGGGGCAAAACCTAACCAAGAGCTGTATGTAGCTCACTATTTCTAATTAAAAAATGGTATCACATAAAAAAAAAAAAAATGGACATCATGGCTAGTCCAGTCACTCTTTTAACATTACAGCCACACGTAATATTTTATAAAAATTTGAAGTCATGATTTAAGGGTCGAGATGACAGATTCTGGTCACTTTTTGAGCTGGTGCGGGTGCAGCACTCATAGAGAACTACAATCAATCATTTATTTTAGTATTGCAACCATGCTCAAAACTCGAAACAAATTTGAAGCCGTGATTTCAAAGTAGAGATAATGGAATATGGTCATATACCAAGCGAGCACTTGGCGCAGAGCACCGAAGATGAGAGCTATTGTCAAATGTTTCTAACTAAAAAATGGGCTTGCACATCAAAATTGATACCATTGAGTCATTTGGCCACATTTTACATAGTATTCATGCCAAAAAATCCAATATTAATATCATAATTTAAGAGTCGAGATGATAGAATCTAATCAATTTTTAAGTGTGTTACGGCGGAGCCGAACGAAGGCTTTTTTAATTCAAAAAAATGAGATTACACGTCAAAAACAGACATAGTTGGCTCGTATGACCATTATTTTAGCATTGCAGCAACCACCCAAAAATGTCAAAAAAATAAATAAATAAATAAAACAATGATTTAAGAGTCAAACTAAGGGAATATGACTATTTTATAAGTGAGAAAAATAGCACTGGCGGTGAGCTATAGTCCACAGTTTAAGGCCACTATTTAATTACACAAACACATCAAAAGACGAGCAAACTTCCTTTGCAGTGCTTCAAGATTCTTTCATCATTGAGTTCGAGCTCTCGAGTTTAACATTGAACACGCAAGCTGAGTTCGGTCTACCTATACATGATATAGGCTCGACGTGAGCTCGAGCTGGAGATTTTTTTTTCACAGACAAGCCGAGCTCAAGTTCACTATAACTCAAGCTCAGCCCTACTTGCTTATACCCCTAGTTGGTTGGGTAGCGACAGTAAAGGTATTTAAGGATAAATATTGGTGAATGTTACGTGTATAAAGTATGCTGATGGAAATGAAAAAAACTGAAAATATATAATGAATTTAAGAAATTCAAATCTCACAGAACTTTAGAAGTAGACATTGTCCATTAAACTAAAGGAAGCCGCTCCTAAGCTAGTCTCCAAGAAGAAATGATGTTACAAGGAGATTATTTATTCTCAATTATCATTTTGAAAGGTTAAGGCCTTCCCAAGAAGAAATGTTGTAAGGAGAACTATAATGTCTGTCGGGGTGATGTTACAAGGAGATTATTTATTCTCAATTATCATTTTGAAAGGTTAAGGCCTTCCCAAGAAGAAATGTTGTAAGGAGAACTATAATGTCTGTGGGGGCCACGTTTTAGATAGACTTTCATTTGCTTGTGACGTGCAGACGCAAAGAAAATTAATATTTCGTCACGAAGACTTATGTGAAAATTTTACCCATAAATCTAACAAATTTTAGATAGATTCAGCAAGATAAGTCTAATAGACTCATAACAATTTTAAAAGAAAAAGAAACAGACATGCTATTGTATCAACGTGACAATCTAAATTTAAATATAGAAGAAATGATTATTCATTAAAAATATCAAACTCCTCTTCTTTCGCAGAATAAAAATTGTAAAAACATACATCAGACGGAGATGAACATAAAATCTGCACAACCCTTGGATTAACCACAAGTATAGCAGCCAATGCCGAGAAAAAAATGACAAACAAGTTCAGCAAATGCTGTGTTCCAAACAACAAAAAAGCAAACTGGATAAATATTGTTCATCGCTCATGGGACAATCTCCAAACACGCACGCACGCATCCTCACCTGCACTGACAATGGTGTTTTCTTCGCTGAAAGCCAATCCATAGACCCCTCCCAAGTGTGCACCTTTAATTGTGGTTCGGCTTGATGCAGCTCTGTCCACATCATACACAATAACGCAAGTATCAAGAGACCCAGTTGCAACCAGGCGATTATCAGGAGACCATGCGAGGCAATTGATTCGAGCAGTGTGGTAGAGCATGTTCTTCAGCTTAACCTGTTTAACATAATCACTCCAGTACTTCAACATAAGCATAAAAGATGGGAGCTGGAGAGGAGTTAAACTTCCATACTAAAAATTAAGAACATTAAAATAGTGTGCATAAAGAAAGGAGACAACTCAATCAAGGTAGCTGATATTAGAGTTCTAATAAAAATCATTAAGCTTTTACATCCTGAAGAAAAGAGTAAGAGCTTTAAAACAATTCAAAAGGAGGGAGCAGGAAAAAGTCATGTACTCTATGTAATTCATGTCTTTCATGAACACCTAAACATCAGTTTCTTTCTATCCAAAGTTGTTAGTGTAGCAAGTTTTTTACTTTCATTAGTTTCTTTTTTCACAATTATTTTTTGTGTTTGATTTGAAATACAATATGTTCGCATGTTAGAACACATTTAAACATTTTTTTTTAAATACTCAAAACACTTCAAAATTGTTTTGAGAACTTCTAAAAATAATGAACTAAATGACATGTCTTGAAATCATAAGCAAAACAGAAATAAAATGAGCCCAAACAGACCCTTAATTAATGAATCAAAAGGCTCATACTCAACCTCTTGTGATGCACGATCCCATACGACAGCTTCACGATTGGCATCGGCTGAGGCAAACATAGAAGCATCAGGGGAGTACTGGATGGCAGTAATAGCTCCCCGATGCTTTTGTAGGACTGTTTCTTCCTTGAGCGTGGCTGCCTCAATAACATATATGTGAAGCTTTCCGTCTTGGCCGCCAACAATGGCCTCAGACCCATCAGGTGAAACCGCTGATGCTGTCACAGCATAACCAAGATTTAGGGTTGAAGCTACTTCTGTGCCCCGTAAAATGATGATCCCGGAATCAGTAGAAACTAAAGCAAGGTCAGGACATTTCAAAATAAAATGTAAATTGTTTGGTTGAAATCCAACATCAACAGGTTCTGCCTCTCCACAGTGACTTTCATTTAATGAAAGTCTGTGTACCTGATTAAGAAACAAAGAACAAGAAAAAATGAAGAACTTCAAAATATATATTCACAAAAAAGCTGGTGCCTTCACATTTACCAAGCATAGAACTGCAAAGAAAAATAACGCATTAAAAACCTAAAGCACTCTTGTATAAAATTTGCGGATGAAAATGCTGAATGAATAAGTTCAGAAAATAAGACAGTTAGGCTTCAGTTGACTAAGAAATGTGGATGGTGGAGAGCGTAAGATTGGTGCACTAAATGTCCAAAGAAAAATTGGATGGCTCACAAAGTTAACTGCAAGAACCAGAATAAAAGTAAGCTTTTTATTGCATATTCATAAATGCAACGAAAAATAAGTTGTAGAAACACAAGTGCCTTCATTCTGCTGCAAATGAGATTTGGTTCAACTCCAAAAAGAAAATGGTGAGGTTGGAATTACTCTAGCACATGGCAAGTTTCTGAATTGATCATCCAAAATGGACGTGCAAAACCATGCCAGTAATGCAGAGACGAAAACCAAGAACTACTGCAAAATTTAATTAAAAAAAATGAAGCAAGCAAAATCAGGTTTATGAGTAACATGAGATTGAAATTAGTCTTGCATTCATTTCTGCAAATTAAACAAAGCTAGCTTCTCCGTGAAAAAAAAACCGCACCTTCATGAAAAACTTTCACCGCATAAGCTGGAAGAAATATTATCAAAATGAAATATAAATTGTGCCTAAGTATAGATACTGTTAGCCCTATGATTTTACTCTCTCTCTCTCTCTCTCTACTCTCAATCACCCTAAGCTACTTCTATCTTTCAAACACCCTTTTCTTCTTCTTCGCCCTCCTTCCAATACCAGAGACATGTGAGAAACATGAGGGCGAGTATCCCAAGAAAAAGAAAGGTATGAAAAAGAGAGTTCGGAGAACATCATTGTAGCTAATGCAGAAAAGGTGGTGAGAGAAATAGTGGTTTGATTTGATCTCCTCCCAAGTTAGGCATAAATGATACAGGAGATTTTCAAGCAAGGAAGCTGCAGTGCTTTGGCAACGTTACTAAAAGGGCAATTTTTGAATACTTATATGATCGCAATAGCTGGCAGGGAGCTTTTCCAAAACTGATGATGCATCACTGAAACTAGAAACAGCATGTTCAGGGTATGCACCCATACAGAACCCTAGAAGTATAAACCAATCTCATCTATCATGTCCGTGGGCGTCAAGAAATTAATCATACTTGTTTTCCTCTGACAGCATTCCGCAAGTAACCTAATTCTTTGAAATTCTTTGTTGTGTAGTGTCTATTTTATTCCAACATCAAGGCAGCCTGAGCATTAGCGTATGAAAATCTGCACATGATATTGGAATTGGATTGCAACTTAGCATATGAACTGCATGAAATCCTCTGGCTAGAAGTTTGCAACTTAGCATTGATTGCTTGCTATCATAAGAAAAAAACACTTTTAATAACATTGCTTCGGGTGATACATAACCATATCATGTAATATCCCGAAAAGAAAAGAGAAGATGACAAATCAAATGTAGCAAAAAGCCATGGAAATGTATATTGAGATAAAATCAGCTTCTACAATTACTACTACAACAAAACAATATAAATACCATGACGATGATTGAAAATTTGGGTCCAAAAAGTTAAAACCTGTCAAAGGACAAAAGTATTTTTTCAGTATAACTTACTTTATTATCAAAGCCCGAAGTAAGAAGCTCTCCTTCAGTTGCAGAAAAGCATTTAATCTGAGTGTTTTCCTTCCTATGTATTTTTCCACCATAGCCTATGCCAGGAATCCATCTTACGATGGTACCATCATAGCTGGTAGTCAAGATGGTTATCTGATCACTTTGAAGCAAACAAGACAAAGCATTGATGCTTTTCATGTGGCCAGAAAAAGATGTTGGTGGTTTCTGTGGATCACTAGCTGAAAATATAGATATCATTCCGCCAAGAGAAACAGTGACGAGATGGTCACCATGCCATAGGCAGCCAATTAGCATGTCATCCACTCCTCCAGAAACAGGGCAAGCAAGTGTACAATTCAGTTTACCATTACCATCATCTAAAATGTCCCAAACTTTAGCAGTTTTGTCCGCAGATACTGTCAAGGCCTACATATAGCACAAAAACATCAGGAAAAACTCATGTAGGTAAAGATTAATGACCTTGGATGTGCTCAACAAAAACAAACATTAAAACTGTATAGATCCGGTTTAGGCATCACTTGACATGATAATAACTTTAAAGGAAGCATGCTATTGGAGATTTTCATTCAATCAGAACTGAATCTTATGGTAAGTTCATTGTTAGCATCTCTTTAAAAATGACAGGCCTGAAAATGGTAAAAAAAACTACTCAGAAGTGTTAAGAGCCTATTCTAACAATTATAGTAAAAGAGACGAAAGTAAAGCTTACACCGTGAAAATAAATGCAAGTGTTAAAAAAGTTACTTTTTTACTATTTGGACTCCAGCTAACAGCATAGATGCTTCCCTTGTGAACCTCTTGCATAGACAGCTCACCAAGCTTGTCTCCAGACTTTCCATCAAAGATTATGCCCTTCTTATCAGAACTTACAGAGATGAACTTACTCCCATCTGGAGAGTACCGGACACAATTAACGAAGTTAGAGTGATCCCTGCAGTTATGTACCAGAAAAATTTCTTTAAATTATCAAATTTTCTTTTAGTGGCTACAAGCACAGGATGACAATATGAGGATTGAAATGATTCCGGCAAAGAAATTTTGAAAAGAGTAACCGACCAAAAAATGGAAGGAAAACAAATGATCATTATTGGAGCAAACCTGTGGGATTGCTTAAATTTAAATGGAGGGCCTTCATAGAAGTTCAAGATAAAGTCCTCTCCACATGTGACAATACGAAATGGTCGAGTTGGCTTAAAATCACAACTTAATACCCTCTTAGAATGGCCATCAAACTCCCCGATATTAGTGCCTGAATCCCACCTGCATAGATTATTAAAATTAACCATAATTAAACAGCGATTACAAAGGTAAGCAAACTGAAAAATGATAAAATGAAAAGAAAAAAACTACCAAGTTTCTGAACCCACCATCCATTATTAGACTAAACCAAGAACAAAATGCCAGTATGTAACAACTTCCATTTACATTTGTGTTGCGAAGCTGGATTTTCAATATGTTGATCTGTGAAAGCCATTTTTTTAATTTAGCTTATTTTAGTTGGCATCTTCTGGGTCATTTAAGAAAGTGTTATAGTTTGAACGTCGGTAGAGAACTTAAGACAGTAAAGCAAATGAGAGTTTTGATGTTTGATACATCACCAGGTGTGTCAGTTTAACTTCAAGATTATCTACAATTGCCAAAATGCTTAACGACAGATTTAGATAAGAAGAGTACCTGCATAGTTTGAAAGCATTATTAATGTAGAGTAAACGCGGAGTAATGATTCTGATTTTATTATCCAGCTCTCTTAGCGAGCAAGAATTTTCATTCTTGTCACCTTGATCCCTGATCAACTTCAATCTCAATATATTTATTTCTTCTTAGACATTCACCAAGGCAAATTCAAAAAGTACTACTAAGAAAAAAGTCAGACAATCCTTTTATGTTAGATCAATCACCCATCAAGCAACTTTATTTACCACATAACACTGTCCTTCGCTTAGCTTACACAAACCACCAATATAGGCCATTCAAATTTTCAACTTTCGGAAATTAGACTGCTTCCATGTGAAATTTATCGGAATCCAATTAAATGCCCAAAGCAACCGGATGAAGGAAGAGGAGCTCACATAAATGCACGAACGAAGCACTTGCCCTTTCCATCGCCTGAGACAACAATGCGCTGACTGTCAGGAGACCACTGAAGGTCGTCGATGCGGCCAGAGAGAACGCGAAACTCGCTTTTCAGCGCGCGGTCCCCATGGCGACCCCAGATCCGAACCATGCCGGAGACATCGGCAGAGGCAATCCACTCACCATTGGGGGAGAAGCGCGCCACCGTCGTCTGGTGCGCGTGTTCACCATAGATTGACACACACATCGGCGCGCCAAGACGCCGAATGATCACCGCCCGCCCATTGCAATAAATAATAGAGTCGGACTTTGGATCGCCGGAGATGAGGATTCCCCGGCCACGCTCTGTCGATGGAACACACGCGAGAGTCTCCAAGAGGTCCGCCATCCCGCTCCTTCAGGATCTCCTCCCCTCACACCCTATCAAACTATATCGAGGACCATAGTTGGCGATAAAGGAAAGCATTTCATAGGTTTTGGAGGAGAAAGGTCGGGTCGATGGAAAATCTAAGGCTAATATCTCTAGCATAAATAAGATTTTTTTTATTCATAAGAATAATTTTAAATTCAATGTATTTATTTTAAGATTATTATTTATATATTATACTTGATGCGTTATCAATAAATTTTTATCATTTAACGTGCATCTCGATATATTTTTTGAATAACAAACATGCAAAATTTTAATTCAAAATTATTTAAGGTATTGATTTCAGTATGTTAATAGTCAAACTGGTTATCTTGATAATACAAACAAAATTGGTTCAATCTGAGACTAATCAAGTTCATATCAAGTCATTAAATCATATTTGGAAGCTCCACATCGTTAACTGATTGGTTAAACAAAATCCAAGATTAATATTCTTATAATCAAATTGAGTGTTTCGATGGGAGGAATCCAAAGAGTCTGAGCTCTCTTAATTTTAAAGTCAATAAAACCCTCAAATCTTTGAAAAAACTTCTATGATCATGGGAGATCAATACCAGTCATCTTATCAAATTGTTATGAAAGTTATTTGTCAAAGGGCCAAATATCCATGTTTGAGAGACTATAAATAGACTCCCTCTCTTTGCTTAGAAGAAAAAAAAATTATAGTCAAATTACATTGAAGTTCAAGACTGAAGAATCAGCGATAACTTACGGCCCTCGTAATGCACGTCAACCGTCGTTGAACCCTGCCTTCAGCGAACTCTATTGTGTAACAATGTATCTTTGAATATTGTGTAACAAAGTATCATGTATACAATGTAACAAAATATCTTGAATACGATGTAACGAAGTATCTCAAATACGGTGTTACATGTAACTTTGCATTACAAATCCAACAATAACTCCCAACAACAATTACTTACAGCCACCGTATTTAGAATACGGTGACCTACTTCAAACTCCTAAAGTTTTATGCTCATTATGCACAGACAAGTGTTATGCATGGTGTAGCATTGGAACCCTTCTTTTTCAATTGTGGACACATGTGTATCTTTTTAATTATACACTTATAATGAATTACTTTGACTGTACTAAGCCTCGTGATTTTTTTTCTTTTTTCAGGTATTTCCATGTAAAAAGTCTTGGTGTGTTCTCTTGTTATTTATATATTACTCGTGTGTGTGTTGAGAAGTTAAATCATTACTCTACCACCATGAATCTTTCGACAAGCATCAGTTTGGCATCTTCTATAAGAAATTAAGTCATGGTGATAGAAGTTTACACTTCTTCAATGACCAACCAATAGATATGCAAGTTTCACATTCTGACACTCTTTGTTCTAGGGCATAATCTCAATGTGCGAGATATTATGCCTTCAGTCCATTTCCCCATGATACACATCATCACGCTAGTGAAGCAACCTCAGTTGCACCACTTGAAGATCATGTGTGAAGAATGGGGGATTCTCAAAATGAGATCCTCTAAATTTTGTGGGAGGGCTCAACAACCAATAATGATGTTATTAAAAGGAGAATCTGCCTCAAAATCCACTACTCAAAGGTACACTTGTGTTACCCCCTCCACACACTAGAGTTCCTCCTCATGAAGCTAAACTTATGGACATTGCTAGCTCTATACATCCACTCCCTACATTTGGCATGAGGTAAATGTTTGAATTGTTGTATTTTCTTTCATATTTATCATGATCTTACACTTATAAAAGGCTCTTTATAGTTTTTATAGGTTACAATAATCAAATGTGTTTCACGAAGCTAAACATGAAGCGGGCTAAGGAGCTGGACCTACATAACCATGCCAAAATGCAGGGTAATTACATCGAGCTTGTTTTTGGTCTGGCATAGTTGCACCAGCCATTGGCATAATTACATCAAATCAGTTCATAATGATGTCGTGGCTCGACCAAGTTTGTTTGGACAAAAAATTTCAAAACAAAAACTAGTAAGTGTTATATAAGGCTATGCATGGGACACCCTAGAGGGGTGGTGCAGACTTGGAGAGACTTCTTATAGCACGAGAGATGTTTATATTTTAAACCTTAGGGTTTTTCTCTATTCTTCCTTGAGAGAGGGAACTTCTAGGGTGTTTTTTCTTTGAGATTTGATAGTTATTATGTGTGTGAGAGAGAGAGAGATGGTGAGTTGTTTGTGAGGTGGAGTGCGAAGATAATTGTCATTATACATTGAGGATACAGTGCATTGCAGAGAGCATTTATTTATTATAAATTTAGCACTTTCTTGCACTTATTTAAGTTTTCAACGAAATATTTTTATTTTGTTGTTTCCTGGATTGTATCTAATTATTAATTTCATGCTCATGTGATGTAAGTATAATTTTTCTTTTTGTTTTACTATCTTTGTTTTTTCGTATATGTTTCTATACTTTTGAACTACACATGTTGTGTTCTTCTTTTGATTTTTATTTACTTCTTATTTGATCATTGTAGTTAAAACTTATTACGGTCGAATGACATTTAATTATCGCCTAGCAGAGTGTAGGATGTGGAACATTATTTGATGTATGTGTTGATTCTCGTAATGTAAGACAATTATTTAAGACCCTTCAGCACAAATTGTATGACACACGGTCAGAGTCATTCTGCTAGACTCTAACTTTCTCTTAGACAAAGGTCAATCAGTATTTTGTTTGTCGGACGACTTCGAATGAACGACAGATGTCATTCAAAGCTTTGCGCGCGAATCAATCTTAAATTTGCTCAAACAATGATGAATTTGTTCAAACAATCTTGGATGACAAAATAAACTGCACGAGCGCATCCGTAAAAAAGAGGGTTTTAAAACCCTCCTCCCCGCAGCAAAGAAAAGGAGTTTTACTTGATGAACACCTAAAACTTTGAATATAACATCCTAGCCACCAATTTCTCCAATATCTCACGCCAACACCCCATCGACACACACACACACACACAGTGTGTGTGTTAATTAGGGTTGTCAAAACGGCTCGTTATTTGCGAACAGCTCGTGTTTGGCTCATTAAAAAGCTTGTGTTAGGCTCGTTCGCTAAGTTAACGAGTCGAACACAAACAACAAGAACAAATATTTTATGTGTTTGTGTTAGGCTCGTTTTGGCTTGAAAATTATTAAATTAGATTCAAATGATGTTTTAAATCTTGCCCCAATTCTTAACATCTTATGGTTACGTGATTAGGGTTGTCAAGACGACTCTTTGTTCGTGAACGGTTTGTGTTCAGCTCGCTAAACAAACTAGCAGAATACAAACACACTTTTTGAGCTCGAAATATAAACAAGGCGAACACGAGCTGAGCCTGAGCTCACTTGTGTTCTACTCGTTTACACTCCTAGTAACGTAGACCCTAGTGTTAATAGTGTGTGTATGTGCGTGTTTGTGTGTGTGTGTTTTAAAAAAAAGTGAATTAGATTCAAATGATGTTTTAAACCTTGCCCCAATTAAGTCTCAATTTCTGCTATTATCGAACATTGAAGTTAGTTAACTCAAAAATAAAAGCAATTGATATGCCAACAAAAAATTTTCATCATTTTGCAATAATCTTGAGGCATGAGACAAATTTCAAGATAATTTTTTAGCAAAAAATATTTAGATTTTAATTAAAAATCATCCAAAAATTTGATTTTAGGTTAACTTGTTTGTCTTGACTAGGCAAATACGATGACACCAAATTTGGTCCAATCTATGTCAAATTAAGCCCATATCAGGCTATTAATCTATTTTAAAGCATTTAATGTCCAATTTGATAGTTAAATAGATTCCAAACCCAATAAGCTTATTGTCAAATAGAAAGTCTCAATAAGACAGATCCAACGAACCTAAGATCACTCAATTCCAACAACGTTAAAACAATCAAGTGTTTGCATAACGTTGTCTGATCAAGAAGATCTATTTGGGTCATCTGATAGAGTGGTATGAATTCTTTTTATTGCTGGAAAGTCTCACCTAGATTCTATAAATAGAGTCATATCCCTTTCATGAATGTGACTAAGAGCTAAGCTTGGAGGAGGATCAAGAAGAAAAGGAGTTGAAGTCCAGTGTTCTATATCAAAGATCCAAATAATGCTTCCAAGCTTCTGCCGCCACTGCCAACAATGGGCTGCCTCTTACTCGTTACAATGAAGCACTATTGAATTTGAGACCAAAGTTGCAGAGCAACAAAGTATCGTGTTGAACAATGACCAATGTTGCAGAGTAATAAAGCATATTGCTGAACAACAAGCAATGTTGTCGAGTAGCGAAGCACTGTGCATAGTAACAACCAACATTACAGAGCAACGAAGCACTATGCGGAATAACGGTCAACTTCTCATAGCAACAAAGCAAGTTACATGGAAAGTGTCCGTCTCGAACACCACACAATGAAGCCCTTGGAGAATAATGCACAAAAGTTCTCATCCTTCATCAGTGCCTGGTCCGACTCGAACAGCCCCATCCCTACTGCAGAAAAGAATAGTAGGAACCATCCAGTTTCATGGTCGACTTATGGCCGAAATGGAGTTTCCCGTTTGGGTCTCAGCAAAGTAGCTCCTGCCATAATCTCTTGAATGAAATTCCCTCTCTTCGGGAATCTCAGCTTCAAGAACTTGGGGTAATCGGGATCAATGAAGGGGTCCTGTTCCCTGCCGTTGGAAAAATTGTAAAGCCGATAATCGAAAGACAGACGAGCAATGGGGGCCGAGGAGGGAGAAGCCCTTCTTCTTTAAAAATGATGCAGTCTGTTGTTGGACGTCGAACAAAGGAGCGGGGAGGTTCAATCGGACTTCTCAGGCAAGAGAAACGATGTCGTCGCGACGACCGGAGGGAACAAAGTAATATGGTATGCCGGCAATTACGACAGCGTCTCGAGCGGCGAAGGCGATGATGTCGGCAAAGGAGACAATGAGAGGGCATAGTTTCTCAAGTTGGAGCTTAGCAGCATCGATCAATTCCTCTCCGGCGGCGGGGCAAGATAATTTATAAATGTCGTTTACGGAGTTTGTCATCTGTGAACACTGGTGTAATGAAGAGCAGGAGGAGGAGGAAGCCGGTGATCAGGCAAGCCATTGAGTTGTAGAGCACAGTAAAGGAGGTGACGTCCCCTTCTCCTAGATAAGAGCAGCAGGTCTCCGGCTATTGACAATTAGGAAGGAGACTTGTTTTAGTTTTATTTGTCGCTATCCTCTGCTTAGCAAAGTAGACGTGATGGAACAGAATGGGGAATGCCGCTCAGCAACTGAAGATAACTACGTAGCCTATCCTGATAACAAATGACGTTTGGTTTGGTGTAAAGACAAATTAGTTGCTTAATGACCATTAATGTTTTCAACTTTTTTGTGATTATATGTTGATCTTAGGAATTTTTACTGCTTAAGATCTGATTTAAAATTTTTATTATATTAATTAAGAGCTGATTTAAATGAATTTGATGAGAATTGGGGGCGATTTAGGGATTTTAGGTATTTAGGAGCAATTTAGGAATTTTGTCAAATTTAGGGGTAGAAGGCCAAAGATGGGTGTTTAAGTGGAATTGGAGATTATTGAAGATGCTAATCATAATATTACCCTTCTGGTGCCATAAGACTAAGAGGAATCCCATTATGAATCCTACATGTGTTGGTTCTGGCCACCTAAGCCAAAGGCTAAGACCTTGGGGACAACCCACATGAGTTTCCAAAAGAGCTGGGAAAGGTCAAAGGTGACTGATTTTAGGGCTTTGGAAATGTGTGTTAGGGGTTCAAAATGTTTGTGTGTGTAGATCAGACCAAGACCAAAAACTAAGTCACCCAGGGCTAACCCTAAGGCCTGACAATCCTATGGGAACTCTGCTTGAGCTCCCCCATGTTGGTTCTATCCCACTAAGTGGTAGAGAGAAAAACAATGCATGTGAAACTCCAAGAAGAGTAAACTGATGTTTAGAATTTCTACTGGGTAGGGTTCCATTACTAGTCCTCTAGAATAGTTAACAGAAAAGTTCTATGATTAGATCTTAGGCTCATAAGTAAGAAAGACTAGACCTCAACAAAAGTAAGGCTAACAAGCTTCTCCTTGTGCGTTATGATTTTAATTCATTCTAACTGCATTAATTACTTTAATTGATTATTAAAGTAAATCATGAAAAATCCTCTCATTTCTTAAACACTCAAGTAGTGAAATTCATACATTTGAGTGAAATAAATTATTTATTATTTGTCAAGAAAAATATGAATCAAATTAAAATTTTATCTCCCATATAATCTAGACCAAAGATGTGTTGTTTTGAAATTGATAAATGATTATGCATAATATATGAATAATTTAAATTACTTAAGAAAAATATTTAATTATCTTAAAAAATTTATTGTTGAGAAAATTTAATTTGAACCTATCAAGTTTTTTCAACAAAACTCCTCTCAAATTCACTTGTGGAGGTCAAAACCTATAAGGAAGAAGGTCACATTTTCTTAAATTTCTCAATAACATAACTAAAGATGAAAGTATTTGTCAAGGAATCTTTTTTAAGACAATAATTATGATAATTATTTTCCAACACACAACCCTAATATGTAAACCTAATCATGCCCGTCACTTGACATGTTCCAAGCATCTGTCAGCTTCCAGAACATTATGCTATGCACCTAGGATAGCTTCGCTCAATGCAAAGTAAAATTTTTAACCAAGGTTATTTTCTTGCTTAAATTGGTTTAGTAAATCTAAATGATATTTGTCTTTACCAAGAATTTTGAAGGACTTTTATTTCCATCATTTTTGAGATCATCCATTACTAATGGCCATCAAGAAGTCTCAAACTTCACTCATTTTTCTTATTTCATGCCCACCTTTTAAAAACCCACTGTAGATGTTATTCTTTCACTTATTGAATAGAAAATAACTAATGGTTGGATCTCATGGTGGATGAAGCCAACTTTGTGAAGGAACTTTATAATTTTATGTATCTATTCCATGCACTTATTTGTTTATCCTACCTTAACTTTCTTTTATTTTTTTCAAACATTTTAATTTTTTAAAGAACTAATGGATGATGATAAAAGCGTTGTTCATAAAATGCTAATTCTTGAAATTAGAAGCCTTTATTCAATATAAATTAACGATCCAAGGTGTAAAACTACTTTCATGTTTGGTTGCATATTGATAAAAAATATAAATATTTTGAAAGAAACATTTTTTTAAAAAGGTGTTAATGTATTTGTGGAATTAAAATATCAAATCAGTTTTGAATTGCATTCGATTAAAGAGTCATAAGTTGTAAAAAAGTGTACTAATTATGCTTCAACCTTCAAATAAATAATGCTCCACTATTCAGATGCTTATAAGAAAAGAAATAATTTTCTATATATTTTCACCTATCCTTCTTAACGTTGGCGTATTAAATTTTGTTTAATTGTTATGTGAAACTGCTAAGAAGTATTTTAGAGAGAGAGAGGGAGAGAGAGGGAGAGAGAGGGTGCACGGGGAAGCGGTGGGAGAGCAGCCGGAGAGACGGACGGAGGCGAGTGGAGTCGGCAGACATTAGCAGAGCCCTAAATACCTACCACACGAAAAGCCCATGGCAACGATCGTCTTCGGCCACTGAAGCTACCACACGAAAATCCCATGGCAACGAGATCCAGCAGAGCCCTAGCCCCTATTGGCGAAGCTTCATGCTTTTCCCGACGCGATCCTTCCTGATTCTCTACTCTTTCAGCCCTAATACTTCCGTACGCTTGCGGCATGGCTGGAGAGAAGTGGCTCTTTCCCATCATCTCCGTCTCCTTCGTTACTGTTCTACTCATCCTGTCCGCCATCTCCGGCTTCACGGCATCATCTGCCTTCTTTTCCCGCCAGCCGGACCCCATCTATGTCCTACACGGGCCGCGCCACCCCCCGGCGTTCGCGTATTACATATCTGGATCCCGGGGAGACGGCCCCCGGATGCTCCGGCTATTGCTCGCCATCTACCACCCGAGGAACCGCTACCTTCTCCACCTCTCACATGATGCGTCCGAAGCCGAGCGTATCGCGCTGGCATCGGCGACAAAGCTGGCGGTTCCGGCGGCTAGAGCGTTTGGGAACGTTGACGTGGTGGGGAAAGCGGGCGCGATGACGTACATGGGGCCTTCGGGGCTTGCGGCGACACTGCATGCGGCTGCAGTGCTTCTGCGGTTGGATAAAGGGTGGGATTGGTTCGTGACACTTAGTGCTGAAGATTATCCACTCGTCACTCAGGATGGTAAGTGATTCGTTGCTTCATTGAAAGCTTTCTTTTTTTTATTATTATTATTATTATGATTGATCTGGGTGTTGATGCTTATCAATGATTTAAGTAAAGGTTAACCTTGGGCTGATACAAGTTATCTATTAAATTCATATGGCCAGAATACGTTCAGAATCAATTTAATCGGAAAACAAAAAAAATCATGAGCTAATGATGCGAAATGCATCAGTAATGAAGTTCCAATGGGCGGTGGACATTTTATCTAAAATGAAAGTATATGTGTAAAAGCCATACAAATAAACATTTCGCATTTAAAATGAACCATGAAAGTGATGAAATAAGCAAGAAAAGACACAAGTTTTTACATGGTTCATCCAACATTCTATATACCCATGTAAGGATCTTTGCTTTAGATTCTAGCATACCCTTCCTTTGCTTCCATGGCCGGTGGAGAGACTCTTACACATCCTACTCTGGTTTAGGGCAAGTAAAACCCACTACAAAATCACCTTCTCGTAAGGAAGCTCTCCCACCAGATCTACCAACCGAGAATTGGCCACCAAATGAAAGAATACAGCACTAGAGAAATATAAAAAACTAGACTGCTTACAGGGGTTCTCTCTCCTTTGTTGAGCTCAATTGGAGTAGCATATCTTCAACAATACTTTTATTTTTCAAAGGAAATACACTCTTGATTTGATTTGCTCAAAGAGGCTGAAAAAGTATGATGTAAAACTATGGTTGCTACACTTGAAAAAGATTGGAAGTAGAAAGGCAATGGTGATGAGCTAATTATTGATAAAGAAAGATGTTAACGGTTGGTAAAGAATTTCATTTTTCTATCACTAACTATACCAAACATTATAAATGCAGCGCGTGGTAAGTCAGTAGTGCATTCCCCATTCGAAGGAACTTATGTTTTTGTAAACTATATATTGAAATATCTTAAAGGAAGTCCAGGAAGAGGCTTAATGTTTCAAAAAACACAAAAAGATAGCAACATAAGGTGGTACATCGATTGAGATTGGACATGAGGTAAGAATAACAAATCCATTTCAGGTTTTTGTGGTGAAATTGTCATATGGAGGAAAAAAACAAAAGCAGCGGCTAGTAGTGTTGAATTAGAATTTCATGTCATTGCGCTAAGAGTTTGTAAAGATATATGGCCAGACAGGCTTACTAATAATAATACATCTCCTATAACCCTTTATAGTGACAGTAAAGATGACTGTTCAAGGATTGATCATTCATTTATAAAAACAGGGATGGAAGAGGGTGGAATAAACTTATGTTGTATTCCTAATCCTATATAAAACCCCGATGCTATCAAAAAAATTCTCTACACTGCTGCTATTATTTCCTGTTAATGGAAGTGAATTCTCACCTTTTATTTTTCTTGAAAGCATATATAATTTTTTTAATGGAAGCATATGTAATTTATTTAATTTCTATTATAGTTTCTTTACCGTTTTGGATGTAAATTTGTATAATTACATCAAGCTCAAAAGAAACGATATGAGAAAATTTCCTTTGAGAAATTATATTTTATTCGCATTTGAAAGTGTTCTTCTGAATGATGGATGTTAACTCTGTTATAACAATAATAAAACCCCTGTTATATTATTCATTTCACTAGTAAACAACCTTACAGTTTTTGCTTAATATTTCTCTGTTTGGACTTCTAAAGCAATACATTTTACTCTTGCAGGGTAGAAAATATCTAAGATAACTATAAGACATGAAAAAATACACAAAATCCAGCACTGGTCTTTGGAATATATTTTTAATTACTAAAACTAGTTGTATTTACATTTAATTTTGGTCAAATATTTGTGACTCGAAATACAATTATATAGGGACCATATATGTATAGATTCAATATAGATCTATAGGTTTATTTAATTGTATATTATTTTTCTTGTGTATAGCTTTTCAATGTAGATTACATCTCTATTTACATCGGTTGTGTTAAAGCTGTTTAATTGCACAATGTATAATCCTTGCCTTTATATCTTTAATCAATGTAAAGTTTGTTATTATGATGGGTTATAGCTTTTGTTTTATTCTCTTTTGTGATATGTTATTATCATATATTGTGGTTTTTTCGTTATAAACTTTTGTGTTATGGTTGTAGTGACAAATCTTTGTTATGCTACTCTTTTATTTTAAATTTTTTTTTTTGTATAAACTGTTATATCAACCACTATTATAATTGTTGGAATACTTCTTGAATGTATCGTGATCAAATCCTGTTAAAATTTTATTTGAACATTATTTGAAACCTATTTGAACCATGTTTGAATATTGCTAAAGTCATCTTCTAACCTTATTTGAACCTTAAATCTTATTTGAATTATGTTCTAACATAATTTGGACCTTGCTCTTATATTATTTAAATCCTATTTGAATCATGTTCAAGTTTTTGGATTTGGAATTGCTTGAATTTTGTTCGATATTTATTCAAACTCTACACTAATTTTGTTCAAACCATGCTCAAATAAGATTCAAGTTCCTGTAAGATTAGAATTTTCTTTGAATTATGTTTAAATTGTTGTTGGTCATGATCCATGAGAATTAAACACTTAGCGGTCAAAAAGTGAGTATTTTGATAAAAAAACAATCTTTCAGGCATATTCTCTAAGAAAAATAAACGTGACATATTTCTTTAATTTTTACTATTAGTCAAATTTAACAACATTTTCTTTTTGGAACTAGATACTGTGTGTGTGTGTGTTGCAAATTAATTAATTTTGCTGAGAAAGGAGTTTATTGTTTCTTTTCAGATTTGATCCATGTTTTCTCCTCTATGCCAAGAGATCTTAACTTTATAGATCACACAAGCGACCTTGGTTGGAAAGAGTACGTGCACTTCTTTTTTTTCTTTTCGGTTTGGATTTGGTATAATTGGTCTTCTCAACAAAATTAGCCCTTCCCAGTTTTGATGTGAAGCTAATGCAGTTGATTTAGTGCAGGTCTCAGAGGGTGCATCCAATAATAGTTGATGCGGGCATTTACTTGTCGAAAAGATCTCAATACTTCCAGGCTTCTGAGAAGCGCAAGACCCCCGAGTCTTTCAAATTCTTCACAGGCAAGCCTTTATCTTCTCACAGTTCCAGCATTAATTACTCTTTTGTTCTTTTCTTGGTTTCAGCCCACAATGCATCTCATCTTCCAGGTTCCCCATGGGTAATTCTCAGCCGATCCTTCATAGAGCACTGCATTTTAGGTTGGGATAATCTTCCCAGAACGCTTCTTTTATACTTCACAAACGTGCTCTTATCCCAAGAAGCCTACTTCCACTCGACTATCTGCAACTCCATCGACTTCCAGAATAAGACAGTGAACAATGACCTCAGATACAAGGAATGGGACAATCCCCCCCAGATGGAGCCTCTATTTCTAAACGATACCAATTTTGATAAAATGGTGGACAGTGGGCTGCCATTTTCAAGGAAGTTTCGCGAGGATGATGTTGTGCTCGATAGTATCGACAAACAAATACTCGATCGAAAATACCATCGGGTGACTCCAGGTGCATGGTGCTCTGCAAAGAGAGGCTGGTGGTCTGATCCTTGCTCGCAATGGAAGAATGTTAATTTGGTCAGGCCTGGAGCACAGGCTGAGAAATTTGGGGATTTTATGAAGAGACTGCTGGAGGAATGGAGTTCTGGATCAAACTCATGTAGGTTATAGAGATAACATACAAGACATACTGCTTAAGAAAGCAGCTGTTTCTGCTTCTAGCGATGTCTGTCTTTAGCCTTTTTTTTTTCATTATTTTTTCTTGGATTCAGCGTAGAAGGGGGTGATACTAAGGTATGATTCTTTTGTCGCACAGTTGGGCTGGTTTAGCCACAGTTTGTTATTGTAAGATTATTTCATAGGTTTATTATGGTACGTTTATCATCTTTCGAGTTCTTTTATGTAAATGTGTAAATTAACAAGCAGACATGTTCAACTATGTAAGCACTAATGTTGCCTATACCTGAAGGATTTAAAATATGAACAAGGGCACACTACACCCATAATCCGTAGGTTAATATAAAAATGAATATCCTTAATTCAATGATTTAAGGAGGAATGCATTGTTTAAATAAAGATGTGCGAGCACATTGTCTATAAACAGCTCAATATTTTAAAGCAAAAGTTTTTATTTAGAACAGAATATCAATTAAGCTTCCATCGATTGATTTTTGAAAGTGAGATTGTTAAGAATCAACGTTAATTTAAAAGTTATGCATGCATGTACTTTGCTTGTTTGCTTGCAGCAGCTGCAGAACCAAACATTTTCCAAATAAAGAAGTTCTATTTTAATCACTAGATGCAAATCATTTTACTTCGCTGCACGCGTAAAGCATTAGCTGATAATTGCTCTGCCCAACCATCATTGATTTTGTTAGGCAAAAGTCGTGCTATGTGGAAGTTAGTGTAATAACATTCATAAAAATTTAAAGGACATTACATGCATACCGCTTAATTCTTATATATTTACGTATCTAGCATACAAATTTTCAGATTTACGAGCACAGTACCTAAATCTTTAATATTATACCAAATACACCACTTCTTTTAGCTTTTTAAAAGTGATAACAACTTTTTTTTTGCATAGGTTTATGATATCAATTTGTTATAAATGTAAATATCAAACTTTGGGCAGTAAATATGTGAATACATAAGAATTGTGGCATGTATGTAAATTTCCCAAATAACACCCTAACCAATCCAAACAATGATAAATTATCCACTAACTTTTTAAGAATGGGATAGGCCATGTAAAATTTTTTTACATTATAATACATCTAGAATAATTTTAACGTGTCTAATTTCTAAAACATTGAATAATCTAAAATCAAAGCTTGCAAGCAGAAGAATTGAAAATTAATTGAATGAAAAATGAAAAATATGATCTGGGGTTTTATAATGAATTTTGATAGTTGAGTGAATTTGAAAATGGATGAAACAAAGTGGCTGATTTGTAAATAGCAAGTTTCGGGTGGTACGTATGTATTTGCCCCTTTTTCTTCTACAGAAAGGGTCAGTATTTGAAATGACATAACTAGGACCATAATGAATCAGATCACGCTCTAAATGGTCCCCCTTTTCCTCAGTCCCATAGCCTTCATATTATATAGGAGCCAGTAGATCTAAAATGCTCACCAGATTGTGTCCGGTACAGAAGATTTGTGTGCTTTTCAGGAGTGGTGTAAAATTTAATGATGGCTAGATTTGATCGTAATTATGCATTTTAGATAAAGACTCCAACAGCTTTTTAGCTATATGCCTACATAACTCCTAGATCAAGTATTTTCAGAAATTTTTTGGCTGAGTAAAGCAGTATGGCATATAGTCACAGTCATTATCATCTTTCTTCTTTTGTATAGCATAGTACACCTTCGCAGTCATCCCAAGGCATTCTTTGTCAACAAATTAAACAATATGGCATATAAAATACTTTCAATAATTCAAAATGGTAATAAATAATTCTGTCACGACTACGAGTTACATAAAATATAGGCAGATGACAAATTTTTCTTATCTTCCGAGGAATGACAGAGACATTCCTTGCAAAGAAGTGCATGAATGCGGAAGTTTGGCAATTGATGATTTCAATGATCTTCTAAGTTCTTCTATCTCACGATTCATCATGTACACTTCTTCGGTTCCAGTCCTGCCTGACCAATCTTTATTAATCCTAAATACAAAAAGTTAAATGGGTAAATACCAAAATCTATAATAGATTAAAAAATAAAAAGTTTAACAGCAAATAATCCACCAATAGTATATGTAAGCATTTTTAGGAATGGCACCTAAACTTTACTTTTTATATGTATACTGCCCAAATCTCAAAAAGTGAAATATGCCATTTTCATGCATAGGTAAAATGGCATAAATGTTAAAATTGAAGTTTAGATATTAGATATGTAAATATATAGGAATTAAGTGGTAATATTAAATTGAGTAGAGATCAACAGAGGGGATTGTAGAACTTACATTGAATTGGCTTCTGTGGGAGTACTGCGATCAGAAAAAAGAACTTTAACGACAGGTTGCATATGCATTGCAGGAAGTTCTCTTGTTACAGTATTTTCATAGCAAAAGCCAGAGCAGCACCAAGCTCTTGAATTCAAGAGGACAATTTGCAGCATTGGGAACTTTGTCCTCAGATCACAAACCATAGTACGGAATGATAATTCATCTCGTGCTCCCTCAATTAGAAGATGTGAAAATATATTTTCCAGAGTATAATTCCTACTCAAAAAGAAAACTCAAGTCTTATCAGACCAAACACCACCCAATAAGAACGATGTATCATGTCTTAAAATAGATTTTATCACCAGCACTTAAGAGCACAAATTTATTGATCCAGTTTAATTTTCTGTAAAGGTTCAGCTTCAAACGTTATTTCCATGACAAGGAAACAAATTGTGACTCCTGTCAGCCATCAACAATAAACGAAACCTTCCCAATCATACGTAGAGAAAACTCGTGTTTACAGGAATCAATGTGGCAGTCCAAATACAAAAGAAATGAGATTATAAGAAAGAAACTAGACAACAAACCTGCAATGTAAGGGATGATACGGATAATAAAAAAATAAATTAGTTTCTTAGTTACGTTACAAGGCCCTGAACGAGTTAAATTGATTTAAGTGTGAGATAATGAGCAAATAAATTTATTTAAAAAGTGAGAGTACATAGCAAAAAATTTTAACAATTTTATTTTTATTTTAATTTAAATGCATTTGCTCAACCTTCAATCATTTTAACTCGAGCCAAGATCATACAATACAGCAATTTAATCCAACTTCTTGATATTTTGCCATCCCTTTCAACGTTGGAGTTTGTGATCCCATTAAGTTACAGTGAGCTTCTAATCTTCCTCTTTTTTTTCATAAACGGAATTGAAATCCAAACATTCCGCTTTAAAGGCATGGGACAAAAAGAGATTGATCTTCATAAATAATGATTGTGTTTAACCTGCATCTCTAGTTATTTGCAACTACTGTAGGAAGCTGATGATGAAGGCCTCTTTAAATCAAATTGCAGATAGTATCGTGTCTAGCTTAGAATGGGAAAATTATAGAGGTATTATCCAGGAATTTGGCGACCAAGGACCAGAGACATCAATATCATGTGATAATTGAAACCCTTGTAAATTGCCAGACCTAACAGACTTCGGTTTTATCCAGTGTAAATCATTGAGCGTGGATATTCTCATAAAGCATGAAGCATAGGTAAGATATAACAATATCATATGACTATAATAATATGTCAATTTTGAAAACAGGATACAATAATAGAATGAGGTGCATTTAGCAAGGATCGGGAAAATTTTTTTCTCAATGAGGCGGCTGATGCAGTCTCTACACGTGAGAGCCTTTCGGTTTAATTATAACATTTTTCACTGAATAATGTTGTATATAACAAACTACATCTGTTTAATAAATAAATGAAATATATTTATTTAAATTATAAGCATACTTACTTGAATGTATCATCAGGAGCACCAGCAGGAGTAGAAGTGGATATGTAACACTTAAATAATCGAATTCCACCAACTACTGGACCGGTTCTACCCTGTACACATGAATAAGAACCCAGAGGAGATGAACAATGTCTACAAGAAAATTCAAAGCACTCTACATCATTTGAAAGATTGGCAGGGGTAACCATAAAACCACTTCCATAAACTTTTAAAGATTGTTGGGCACTGTATGTTGATGCTTCAGATTCAGTTCTTCCATCAGCATGGCCAGATGTTTGTGCTTTCTCAGTGATGCAACAATAGAAGTCACATTTTGAAATCCTTTCACCAATAGCGTCTGTAAATGTTTTCTCATTACGTAGTGAAAAATGATTAAAATTAGGCTTCAAGCAATCCATGTTGATATCATTTTGTGCTCCAACCAAACCAAGCTGATTACTATAAGCATTTGAAGATAGATCCACTACATGTGCTTCAGTGCCTGGACATGCTCGTGATGCAACAAAATCACAACTCACAGCACTAGTATCATTGGATTCAGAATATTTCACTGTGAAATCTAAAGTGGCACTTTCCAAGACAGTACCTACAAAAATTGGAGTCATGAATTATCAGTGATTAAGCTCCATTACCAGCACTCATAATGGTATTCATTAACAAAGGTCCTCTGTTATTATAAACCAATATATCCTACTAGAAGCTCTATGAATCTCCAACAAATGATTAAATGAATACCTTCAAGATCATGCTCACAGACAGCAGCTGAAGCTCTATCTAACAAACACGTTCCCTCTTTAAAATCAAAAGTTTCCAAGTACTTAGATACCAACTTTTCACTTACTCCTCCAAATGAGCAACATCCCCCAAACCAATTATCAGCCACCTCTTGCCAATTCATTGATGGAACTTCCACAAAGTTTCTTTAAAGATAAACATTGCATGGTTAAAAAGAGATTAAATTTTCATCTATCTAAATATTAAAACTTCCAAAATGCAGTGCGCACATCTAATAAATATCATAATTTCAACAATAAAGAATGCCAAACACATTGCAACTTCAAAAGAAGAAAAATAATATAATAAAAAAAGTTTGATGGAAGATAATTAGCAAAAAATAATATGAAAAAAGATAATAAGAGAATCCTAGTTAGATTTCCTCAGTAAGATAAAACTTTCGTTACCAAATTACAAAAGAATTTCCTGGTAGTTCAATGATTCTCCCACTTAACTATTTCTCTATAGCTGGCTTTCTTCATAACATAATACTATTACCTGAGAGGTTGCCTGGTTAACTTTGTTGAGCAGGACTTGCAGAAAAAATTCACCCCTTCAGAAGAAAATTTCTCTATATCTGAATCACTAAAATAAAATTAGAGGCAGAGAAAAAAAAATTAATAATTTGAAAAGGTAACCCTGAACGCAGACAAATCAACTGGTGACCTCATTTGCCATTCATGGAAATTAAACATCACGCATTAGATGGTAAAAACTTCAGTTTGGTTTTTGAAAAATTTTGAAGTGACAATTGCCGCCAACATTGATAAAGTTTTATGAAAAAATAGCATGTACGTGGGAACAAAAAGTTGGTTCTTAGCTAAAATTTTAATTTCTTTATATATGCAGCAAGCCATACCAACTCTCTGCTCTAGCACCAAATCCCTGTTGCAACTCTATCTTCCCAGCATAATCAGACTTGGTAGCTATAATTGTTCTTAGCTTTAGTTACATCCCCAGTTTAGCAACTTGTCACATGAATGTGGGGTGGTTTATATCCTGTAGAGGCAATGGAATGGAATTCAGGAATTATGATTTAATTTTGCTCATTGCAACAACCCTTCTTCTCTTCTTCCTCTTCGTGCTCCATTTTGGCATTAGAGCCATGTTCAACGGTTGCAAGCAACCAATTCGCAAGCAACCAATTCACGACACCAACCGTAACTGCAAAACGTGGTGTGAGGTATAGTCAACTTTCACATACAAATTGAAAATATTTGTCAGGAACAGTAGCAATCTCGCACTGGCAACAACACTAGTGAACCTGACAGCCTAACAACAGCGTCAGATACAGACTTGTTAGTTATAATTGTTCTTAGCTTTTGTTATTTCTTATTTCCCCAGTTTAGTTGTTATTTCCCCAGTTTAGCAACTTGTCACACGAATGTGGTGTGGTTTATATCCTATAGAGACAATGGAATCGAATTCAGGAATTATGATTTAATTTTGCTCATTGCAACAAAGTAAAATTTCCTTCTCTTCTTTCTTCCTCTACTAGCTCCATTGTGGCATCAAAGCCATGTTCAATGGTTGCAATCAACCAATTGACGACATCAACCGTAACTGCAAAACGTTGTGTGAGGCATAGTCAACTTTCACATATAAATTAAAAATATTTGTCAAGAGCAGTAGCAATCTCGCACTGGCAACAACACTATTGAACCTGCCAACCATAACATCAGCGTCACATATAAGCTTATTAGTTATAATTGTTCTTAGCTTTTGTTACTTCCCCGGTTTATCAACTTGTCACACGAATGTGGTGTGGTTTATATCCTATAGAGGCAATGGCATGGAATTCAGGAATTATGATTTAATTTTGCTCATTGCAACAAAGTAAAATTTTGTTCTCTTCTTCTTCCACTTCGTGCTCCATTTAAGCCATGTTCATTGGTTGCAAGAAACCAATTGACGACACCAACCGTAACTGCAAAACGTTGTGTAAAGTATAGTCAACTTTCACATATAAATTAAAAATATTTGTCAGGAACAATAGCAATCTCGCACTGGCAACAACACTAGGGAACGGTGTGAACCTGACAACCATAACAACAACATCAGATACAAACTTATTAGTTATTTGTACTTAGCTTTTGTTATTACCCCAGTTTAGCAACTTGTCACACGAATGCGGTGTGGTTTATATCCTGTAGAGACAATGGAATGGAATTCAGGAATTATGATTTAATTTTGCTCATTGCAACAAAGTAAAATTTCTTTCTCTTCTTCTTCCACTACGTGCTCCATTTTGGCATCAAAGCCATGTTCAATGGTTGCAAGCAACCAATTGGCGACATCAACGCAAAATGTTGTGTGAGGCATAGTCAACTTTCACATATAAATTAAAAATATTTGTCAGGAACAGTAGCAATCTCGCACTGGCAACAACACTAGTGAACCTGCCAACCATAACATCAGTGTCAGATATAAACTTATTAGTTAGAATTGATCTTAGCTTTTGTTACTTTCCCAGTTCATCAACTTGTCACACGAATGTGGTGTGGTTTATATCCTATAGAGGCAAATGAATGGAATTCAGGAATTATGATTTAATTTAGCTCATTGCAACAAAGTAAAATTTCCTTCTCTTCTTCTTCTGCTTCGTGCTCCATTTTGGCATCAGAGCCATGTTCATTGGTTGCAAGCAACCAATTGGCGACACCAACCGTAACTGCAAAACGTTGTGTGAGGTAAGTCAACTTTCACATATAAATTAAAAATATTTGTCAGGAACAGTAGCAATCTCGCACTGGCAACAACACTAGTGAACCTGACAACCATAACAGCAGCGAGGAAGGCTGCCATAGCGAATCAAGCTCAGTGGCACACCCAAATACATGATCAACTAATTTATCCAAAAAAAGACTACTACCCTCTTCGACAAATTGCTCATTTAAATTTCATTTATGTTACAAAAATGGCTCTCCAAGATAATGTGCCTCAACGACGATGATACTAGGAGCACGGACCAAATGATTTAATGTAAAGATAGAAATCCCTTCATTGATAGTTATCTTAACATTAAATCATTCTTTGAGTATGTGGGCTCTCCACCAAAATAATAATAATAATAATACTAATAAGAATGAGTCAAATATGTAACTTGCAAATCAAAGGCACAATATAAAGGCCTGGTGGACCGAACTAATGCAATCTCACCATCGAGAGGGAAATGGCAACATCTATAACTTAAACTGCATGAAATAGCTTTTGCGAGGTCACTTCCAACCATCCAATTACAAACAAATGCTATATCGACAATACCAAAGGTGCACTCAAGAGCATCTTTCTGTCAACACATAGCCAAAGTATTTTACCACATCAGTGCTTGCAATAACCTCGATGAAATGAATCTCCATAATTTTCATTTCGGCACCTATATGCCATAAGAGTGTAATAAAAAGCTCGAGTTCAACATGGTTCTTTCAAGTTTCAAGACAGGTTCATACATCTTTCTTCCATATTATTCATTCTAGCACTTGCATGCCATAAGAGTTCCAAGTCACCAATTCTTCCAAACGGTTCACAATTAGATTCTATCTTGAACACAAGTGCTCTATTTGTTAGATCAATCCCAGTTAAAAAAATTATATACTATAAATTACATCCTCATGATCAAATATAGCCATAGTCATGACAGGTATGCAGGTAGTGGAGCATAAGGACAAAATGAATGTTGAAAGATCACTCATCTTCGGCATCTAACCAGTAGTTGAAGAGTTCTTAATATATGTTTCTTTTACAAAATTCTCCGTATTGCTATCTCATTATACATCTGTGAAGAAGCTACACAGACAACATTCTACTCCACAGTCTAGCCAATTTTATCATACGAACTTCTGCATGACCAACAAAACTGTCAACTGATCTCTTACTCTTTCCATCCCATTTCACTAGGCCAATGTACTAGTCTAACAATCACAGAGTAGATCTTTTTCTCAAGGCAAAAAAGGAATGCATGGGTTTATAATCAACAACATTGACCCAACATCAAAATCATAACTTCTAATTTCATCTCCTGCCTTTTCTCACAGAGGTAAGATTGAATGAAACAAAATAGTACGGCACATCAAACTCAATATGTATTAAGCAGAAATTTATACTCGACAAGCAAAACCATGACAACAAATATCCAAGAGTTAATCTCCGAAGCAAGCTTCCCCGGAGTCTATTTGGTGGTCAGAATTGCTTTTCACATACTGGCTTTTTGATAAAAATTGTTTTGCCTTGTGTTACAAAATTTTTTTCAGTTTATAAAAATATTCATAAACAAGCTCATCATTCTGTGTTCTAGCGGTACAGTTCAATTCTGTGATTTCTCTAGCAAAAATTTTACAATTATATTGTCAATAATTTAAATAGAATACATATTAACTTCAAACAATAATATCTACTACTGTTTCACACCCAACTTTATAGACAGCTGCAGCCGCCCCAAACAAAATCAATAATAAGCACAGCGGCATTATCAGCTCGACGAGATCATAGGCAAATCAACCAAGCAAGCAGCCAAAACAAAAGTCACCTCACCAGAACCCATAGAAAGAGACAGGCTCCTATTGACCTCTATCCCAGGAGCGCTCCATAGCTCTGCCTCCACGGGATGATCCACTGGAAGAAGGAGAATAAGCTTTGCTTCGATATGGTCTCCCATCGCCTTGACTTCGACGGGGCATCCCGGATCAATCAGAACTCTAGGAACCGGTATCGAAAGGAATGATCTCCCGTTGCTAAAGGTTGCTTCGTCGTCAAGCCGCCAAGAAACAAGGAGGAGGGAACGGTCGAGCCTGAGCGAGCCCTCGAGAAAGCGGCAGACGGCAGAGGTATCGCCGATCTCTAGGTTGAAGAGGTAGAGACGGAGTATGGGGATATGAGCCAGACTTTCCCAAGTGAATCGCCAACGCCTGCCTGAGTTAGGGCTTTCGAATGGGAAGGAGCTCATCTTCCTCGCTTCGCCCTCCAGGAACACTCCTGCTCCTCTCCCGCCCAAATGGGATGACGGAAAGCTATGGGCTGGTCTAAATATTAATTAAGAGTATCAATATTTTTTAATAATAAATGGGATCAGATAAAATTAATTTGAAAGTTTGTTTACTAATATAACATAATTTAAATTTTTATTTAACTAAAAAAGAATTAATCAAATGTGATCAATCAAAATTAATTAGAAAGCATATACGTTGTAGAGGCAACTAGATGCTATGTTAACTTTAATGATAACTTATAAGATCTCCGATGATAGCTTCTTATACTAGACTATAATTATCGTTATTTTGACATTTATAATCTTGTGTTATAGCAAAATTATTATGTCACCTTATGCATTAGCTCCCAATCTTTATGAATTAGTGGGGGTATATTTATATTACTTATTAGGGGCATTTACATATATACCACCCAATTCATGTGTAATTACATATCAACACCTAAACTTTGAATTCATACCACTAAAATCTTTCATATGATATTAAAAATACCACTACTTTTGACTTTTAAAAAGTAAAAATGCACTTTTTCTTCATGCATAGGTCAAAAATTGAATTAACAAACAATACATGTAAAAATTGAAGTATAGCTGATAGACTTGTAAATACATTAAAATTGGGTGGTATGCAAGTAAATCTTCCTATTTTATATTGTGGCCTATTTCTTTTATGAGCATCATCAGATCAGTGAAATCTATAATAAATAGAAACAAGAGTAATAGTTTTTATGTACATGTACATCTGTACATGTACATGTACATCTGTACATGTACATGTACATATATATATATATATACACACACACATATGTATATGCATATGTGTTTCTGTTGAATCTTAATAGTTTTTTTTTTTAAATTACAAAAAAAAAAAACATCATTCACAAAAAATTAAACAAGACTTTGGGAACTGATTTATTACTGCTTTTCATATATTAAATTTTGCATAGAAATAAAAGAATTTCTGGTGCAAAATCCTGTTGCCAGTTCAGTGGCAAGAGGAATATTCTCATCATACAATCTGCCTGAAATGAAATAGGAGATAGGAATCTTTGAAAATAATAATGAGTGTAAAGGAAATCACAAATGAATGTAGGGTGGCAGCAAATCTCATAAACTTAAATGATTAGACGAAACAAACAATTTTAGAGAGTTTACAAAAGCAGCCAGCTGCCCTGCTTGCATCAAAGGAAACAAATTAAATGCTCAAACCTCATTCATTCAGCTTTCAGAACATTTATCCTTCAACAATACATTAAAAAGACATCAAACCAGGTTTAGTTAGGTTAATTTCTGCAAAATGCTCTCTTTCAAACTAAGCAGTGGCTCCATCTCTGCAAGCATTACAAAATGAGGGCTTTTAAGTGAAATTATTCCAAACGAAGTTGCAGAATGTAGTACAACAAGACAAGTTCCCCAAATAAAAAGGCTTTTGAAACATTCTGAATTTTGAGATAATACATTAGATGCAGTGAATGTTCTCCCCTTACAGCAAATTATTACCAGGAATCTAGGATCCAATACTACTTTCATTATATCTGTGTTTCAACACACCTTTTAATATCATACATATATATAAATCAGTAAATAGAAAGATACAGAAAAAAAAATAAATGGAGTTTATATATCAACATGAAATCACAGAATATTGATGAAATCCACATGATATACTAAGCTATGTATAGCTGCTATCTAACAGCCATTATAAGCAGAATCGGATTTGAGAACCATTCCTTTATGCTTCACAATGAAGAAAGATGGGATCTGACTCTCACCGACAGCATTTGGTTCATCTTCACAGTAGAAAGTAAGCAAATGTTGGGGTTGCTCCTTATCATACCCATATCAGCTAGGAAAGCTATTACAAATTAATGCTTCTTCCACTAGTTTGAACCTTTCCACATATATTACAACAACGCTGATCCAAGCAGCCATAACATGCAAATATTACAAATTATTTTTAAGTCGAGAGATAAAATATCAATGCAGCTGAAAGAAGATCCATCGACTCTAAATCTTCTGCATTCAGATTCTGGCTGGCAAGCATATGCCAAATCCATGACCCCACTATAGCAATGTCTTACCAATTTCACAAATCAAAATTCCCAAAAAAAATAAAAAGGAAAAATCACAACTAGACAAAAAAACTTCATGGTAGTATATTGCAATCCAAGATAATTTTAGAAGCTAATGAAACTTAATCATGCTAACATTAAAGCCAAGCTTTGAATGATAGAACTCTACCATCTAGTTTGATGGATAGTGTTGAATTTCCAGTACAGTACTGTGTTACAATAACATGTGCTTTAGTGAGGCTCGCTCACCCTCCAATCATAATAAAGAACTTAAGGCACATGGTTCAAGCCCTTGTACCTTTGGATTAATTTCTCTATGGCTGTGATTGTCTACAGGATCGTCAGCCCCTTCTTATTTTTCCTCTTTTTTAATTTAATTTTTGTAATGCATCTTTCATATGTGTGTGTGTGTGTGTGTGTGTCCCCACTTGTACAAAGAAGCATAATAAAAATTCTTGAGAGTTATCTTCTTTGTTTTATATTTTACAGTCTCTAAACTATAAATAATAGTGCGGTCAACATATGCAATTCAAAACATCTATGTAGAACACCATTAGAATATCTCTTCAGAGAAATTTAAGCTTAAATTTTGAACATAAATACAATTTTAATGAACAAAAACACAAAACTAAAAACGAAATTTGGAAAGTAAACAATCGAGTAAAAGATGGATGCGCAACAATTTGATTTTTACATGGCTGCATTCTTTCCTGGACATAATAATTGGCCCCTAGTTTTGAGAACATGTCACCTCTGCCTTGCAATGTCATTGGATGCCCATTTCAGTCTACACTGGAATAGTGTCAACATGAAGACCATATATAAATATGTAAATATTTATGGTGAGAGTGACACTCCAGGTTTTGACAGCATAGCATCGATGCTCAAATTATTCAGAAATGTCATCATCTCCACTAAAATGCTCCGTACGTTCAGGTCTGTCATCAGAATAATCTTCCCTAAAAGACCTTGCCTTCTTTGAGTAATGAATGTCTGCTCTGTCCTGTAAAATTTAAATTTTAATTGGAATATGAATATATCATTAGAATAGAATCATCATGTGTCATGCATGACAATAGGATACCATGAACAAAGGCGTGCAAGCTGTAGAGGTAAAGTAAGGTAAGGTTGATTCTATTGGATTTAAGAAAATGTTTCCTTTTTAGTTTGAAACTCTCTGATGTTTTTCTTTTTCGTAGGCCAAACTCGTGTTCTTAAATCATTTAATTGTCTTTCCCCTTGCTAAGCTTTTGCCTAGCTTATCTGCGCACATTTTTAATTCAATTAGGCCCTCCCCTCATGTTTCCGCAAAAAATGGATCACATGCTAAATACAGTTTTTGTAATACATATCCATAAGTTTTCATAATCCTAATTAGTAGATTAATACAAGATTATAAGAAATTTAAGCAGAACTAAGCACACAAAAATGCAATTCAATTTCTCAATTTCAAAAAAAAAATTATTTTGTTTTTTTGTAAATGAAAAGCTTTTCTACCTAACAGGCCACTATAAGAAAGCCAAACAATGCATCATAAAATTACCTTGATGCAAGGCTCATACATACATGAATACTATGAAAAAAATAAAATGCAGTCAATCGGTTACAAGACATGTAAATTTTAATGAACACAGAATTTGAAGAAAAACTGAGGAATCAAACCAAAAATGGCGCTATGCAATCTAGCAGAAACACAGGCATATTTTATGGTATCAGTCGTGTGAAAATATTGAAGTTCAGAGAGTTAATAATACATACGTAATTAACAGCGGTTTGTCCAGATTCCATCACTTCTGTAACAGCAACAGATGCTCTTTTTCTCACAGTTATTCTTAAAGGTACAGGATACTGCTCCACCTCATCGCTAGACCTTCCCTCTTTAGCCTTCTTTTTCTTTAATAAAAGCTTTGTGGGCAAAGGCTGTCAAACAAAGGTCTTCTGAATTAAAAGGAATCATTAATCCAACTAACAAGAAATGTGCCCAAACATTACCAGATATCGTGCAACATGATCATCAAAATTAACAAGAAATGTTGTAGGGTCATCAACATCATCACCTCTAACCTGCAGTGCAAAATGATATGCACTCTAGGTAAAACCATAATAGGCTTAAAAAACAGATAAAGAGCATAGAGCATGGGAAAATATTTTGGTTAGACAATGAATTACAAATCATACATAGAATACATACATCCCAGTGATACTCCCTAACCCAGCAATATGATATATCTTCATTTTCATCGTACATGTCCTTCGATAGCTGTACAATAAATACAATAAAATTCGTCAAAGGATGAAGAAAGATAAGATGTCCTACTATTTAAATAATATCATAGGTTGGAAACTAAAGCAAAAGAAAGGTAAGGAGGAGAAAGACACTATCTGCGAATCTAAGACAATGTTTCCCATGAAGCGGATAGTGTTAAGATTCTATAAAGTTATGTAGAACGGTTCAGCTCACTACCTCATCAGGAGCAGGCGCCATGAATGCCAAAAATTTTTCAGACTTTGAAGGATCAGAGCCATTTACCACAAAGCTCTTCATTATGGCCTTCAAACAAGAAAATTAATGAAATACATTAACCAATCGGTTATTGCAATAAAGATCCAAAAATCTCTGCAATTAAAATGCACTAGAATATCCACCAGAAATGGCAAATAGCATGCATTATTTTATGGTGATCAAAAGAAAAACATAAAAAGGTTTATGAGAAAGTTTGAAAAGAAACAAAAAAGATTAATGAGAGATATAAGAGGAGCCATCAAAATAAAAAGCCTTCATTAAAAATACACGGTTAAATGGAAATAAAATCTACACATAATATAATAAATTGCAAAAGTAATTTATACCACAAAGAGCATCAAAAAGTAATTCAAAGAACTAAAGTTTTGGCACTCAGAAAATCAGATAACATACAGAATATAAGATAAAAATAGAGTTAAAATTTTTTCGTAATTTCCGCGCATAATAAAAATTATTAAAAACGTTTTTATTAAATTCTATATTTTTATGATCATATATATGACTTTCTTTAGTTATTTCAAATAATTTAATCTATTAACTAAATAAAATGACCAATGTAATTTAATGCTACTGTTCACCTAGCTAATGCATTGTTCATTCCTTTTCCCTTTTCCACCAAGAAAAACATGCAGCGGCTGATGTAGATACTGAATAGTTGAGATTAAAGCATTTAAAAAGTTATATATTGTTTATAGTACAGCACAACATTTCCACATCCCCTGAGCAACTGCCTGATAGCTTTCATTTAAGGGAAGAACGGGATTTAGGGAGCTGAAAACTTGTATTAAGAGGGTAATCTGGCCAATCTGACTTCTCTTAACTTTTATACCCATTGAGGTTGGTGAGCCATGGGGATTTAATAAAAAATGACCAATTTTAGGCAAAAGATATTTTGAGGTCAATTTTAATTTAGTTCTGACTTTGATAACTTAAGTAAGTTTATGTGACGAAGAAATTAATATTTTGTTATACTGTGAATAAGTGATAGAGATAAAGGTCTCTGGTAGTCGGCGTAAGGGAAACTGTACTAAAGTCGATCTATCATTTCCTGAGAAACACTCAACATCTAGTATAAAGAGCAAAGTACTCAAAAATATATTGCTTGTTAACACAGTAATATGTTATTGAACTTGCCTGTGTAATGTTATTAGACATTTCTTCAAACTGAGCATGTTGATAGTTTTATTTTGAGTACTACTTAGTCGATTGAATGACGCATGTTTATCATCTTAAACTATTAATGATATCTAGTGTGCTTATACAATGTAAGATAGACTGTACCTGTACTGTTAAAGTCACTATTTGGAGTGTAAAAGACGAATAAGAAAGTACATTTGAACCATCATAGGCCATCCTAACTGAGATTATGGTCACTGGCAGAAATAAAACCCACACACCCATCATCTGAGGGCCTTTTCCACTTCAACTGTGAAGAACTTCTTTGAAAGTTCAAACAAAAGGAAAGAAATCATTCGAGTACAAGAACTTAAACTTGATCTATTGGGGGCCTAATTGTTGGCTTTGAAAATTCACGCCTAGCTCTTCTGAAAACTTATGCAGTTGTGCGGCAAATTTTCATAAGGCCGGTTAGATTTTTAAATAGCGCACTACCCAAAAAACTTTGCTCTCATTTTACAAGGATTTTAAAATATGATTTTAAGTTTGCAAAGGATATAAACAGGGGGGACAAAACTATTTATCTATTAATAATTAGTTGTTAATGTAGATGTGAAGAATTAAGCAGAATACCTATATTTATACAAAATGTTGGCTTAAATACAGCTCACTAAAATCCTAAACTAAGGAAAGAAATAACAACCATATCTCTTAAACTTACGAAAAAATCCTAAACATAGAAAAGAAATAACACCCATATCTCCTAAATTTAGAAAAGAAATAACACCCACTTCTTCAAGATCACAATAATCAAGTTGAATAAGCTAAAATTAGAAAATAGTATAAGTAGTCAAAAATAAAAGGAAATACATAAATAGGAAATAAATCAAATCTCAATCTAACTTCTAACACTCCCCCTCAAGTTGAAGTATATATGTCAATCATGTTCAACTTGAATTTGAAATCATCAAACAACGAGCAGGAAGACTCTTTGTGAGAATATCAACCAGTTTACCTGTGGATGGGACAAAATAAATACAAATTTTCTCAAAATCGAGTTTATCCTTGATAAAATTACGGCAACTTCACATGTTTGGTATGATCATGTTGGACTGGATTATGAGCAACGCTAATGTCGCCCTTATTGTCACAAAAAAAGTTGTAGAGGAATGGTGGCCGACATTCGTAACTCGTGGAGCATGATGGGCAACAAGAGGGTTGTACACACACCCAAAGATATGGAGCAAAACTAAGCTTCAACACTATTACAGGCAAAAAGATACTGTTTTTTACTTTTCGAAGTGACAAGGTTCCAAGCAATTGCATAAACGACGACTCTAAGTGACAATACTAACGGAGTGAACAACAAAGCATTGGTAGCTTAGTTTTGGCAAGTGAACAATAACCCGAGGTAGATTGTCGATCATGGATGGACTCAGCCCAAGCAATTGCATAAAACACAACTAAGTGAGAGTTTTGGCGAGTGAACAACAAAGTCGAGCCCGATGTACCTTCTAGGTAGTGGAGTATCTGATGAACAGCAGTGAGATGATACTCACCAGAACGACAAACAGAGTGACAAATGTTTTCTTAAATTCAACTATGAAGAACTTGATACTCACCAGATGATGCATAAACCAACTTATAACACTAACAGAGTGACAAATGTCCGGAAATATGGGCAAGGTAAATGAGCTTGCCCACAAGGTGTTGGTAGCATGTTTTACTCACCAGAACAACATTAGGAACTTCAAACAATTTATCATTGGGATCCATCGGGATAACTACCAGCTTGCAAAGAGGTAGATTAATCTCAGTCAATAAATCAATAACATATTTGCACCAGGAAAGGCAAATGCCCCGAGAGGACCGAACTACTTCTTTGCCTAAAAAATACCAGAGAGAATCCAAGTCTTTCATCTCAAAAGACGCAGTAAGGATGGCCTTGAGAGACACCAAGGTCGGCAGATCGTTACCTTTGAGCACAATGTCGTCGAGATAGATGATGAGGCTGGCAATACAGTCATCGAATGAATGGCGAAAAAAAACATGTGATTAGATTGGGCCTGCGAGAAACCATGACCCATTACAACTTGAGTAAAGTTGTCAAACCCGGCCCATAAGGATTGTTTCGGTCCATAGGACTCCGCAATTGATACACTTGTCAACGGGAACAAGTACAGTCAAACCCCGGTGGGAGAGACAAGCCTCCTCAGCGAGATCATCACTAAGAAGAAAAACATTCTTAACGTCCAACTGAAGTAAGAGCCAATCTAGATTCACGGTTAGGGATAACAGGACCCAGACAATATTTAGTTTAGCAACCAAAATAAAAGTTTCTTCAAAATCAATCCCATAGGTTTGTGAATATCCTTTGGCGACAAACCACAACTTATTTTGTTCAAAGGAGTCATCAAAGTTAAATTTGATATTGCAAATCCACCAACAACCCATAGCTTTCTTTCCCGTGGGAGATGAACCACTTCTGAAATATGGTTACGTTGAAAGGCAATCATCTCTTCCATGAGAGTAACCTTCTAGAATAGATTAGCCAAAGCCTCCTCAATAATGGATGGGAGACAACCATTCGTAAAGGATGTGGCAAATGCATTGCAGGACGGAGATAAGCTATGGAACAAGATGTATTTTGCCAAGAGATAATGGGGTTGAAGAGTGCATGATCGTGTCTGTTTGCGTAACTCAATAGGGAGATGCAAATCTTCACTCAGACCGAGGGTGACCCCCGTAGATGGAGAGACCATCGTATCGAGTTTGTCGGCCAAAGCGGACTTCGAGACCTGTAGTGAGGCAGCGGGCTCGACCGTAGAGGCATTGGGATGAGTCTCAACAAAGGGTTTCGTATGGTGAGAATAGACATGCAAAGGTGGTGGTAGTGGGGTTGGCTCAGCTGGTAAAGAATCTAATGGTGTCGAAGGTGCACCGGGAATAGTGGTTGTGGGTATGAGAAATGTCCACCAAAGTAGGAAAAGAAACTGTTTCAAGAAGATCAAGCTCCCCCTCCCCTCCTTTGAGGCAGTGTTAGAGAAGAAGGGGGTATTTTCAAAAAAAGAGAGGGCGACACTAACATAAGTTTTATTGATGGTAGGATTGGCAAAATAGCTGAGGAAGATATATTTAATTGAGAGAGGATTAATTTTACTAAATGTTAGGGTTGTGTTTCGAACAAAGGTCGTGCATCCAAAGATTTTGGGATCTAACGAGAAGAAAAAGAACTAGTTGGAAGGAAAATATGACATCTAAAAGGATAATGAGATCTCAAAATTATAAATATTTGTAGGATCTCTATTGATGAGATAGGTGGCGGTAAGGACGCTGACATTCCAAACACGCTTAGGAACATTAGTCTAAAAGCTAATAGAACGAGCAACTTTGAGAAGGTGTCTAATTTTCCACTTAGCTATTTTGTTTTATTGAGGGGTATCGGTACAAAAACTATGACAGAGGATACCCTTACTAATCAAGATTCACCTAATAAAGAGTTAAAGTACTCACGGCCATTGTCAATCCGAAGGACTTAAAAAGTGCTTTTGAATTGGGTTACAATGGAGTGGAAATTTTAAAATATGACTGTGTGGTAATCAATTAGAGTAAATAACTAACCACTGTTTATTGGTATAGCTCGAAGTTCAAGAGGACCCTCATAAATCACAATGAATAAGAGAGTGCAAGGATGAGATGGATATGGTAAATGTTGATGTTTAGCTAATTAACAAATGTCATATTTAAAAGAAGATGAATTTTTATCACTAAAGATTAAAGGGTGTAATTGTTTCAAATAATGAAAGTTGGGATGAACCAAATGACAATGTAAAATCATAATTAGACAGGCAGTAAAAAGGAAAAAAATTACGACTACGAGATTGAATGCTAACATCATGAATACCTTTTTCTTGGAAAAAAATAAAGTCAGACTACCCTCTTAGCACTTGTAATCATCCTTTCCAAATGACGATCGTGAAAGACACAAAAATTAGAGTAAAAATGAGCTATGCAATCAAAATCATATGTTAACTAACTGACTGCAAGAGGTTACTTAGGCAAATGAATGTGTAGCACGTATTTTAAAGTCAGACAGACTGTTATTAAAATTGACCATTTACGCACAATGGAATTAGATGAGCCGTCGGCAATTTTAATTGTATCTCGCCCGGAGCAAAGAAAATACGTCAATAAAAAAAGAGAACATCCGGTCATGTGGTCTGTGGCACCTGAATCGATAATCCACGAACCCGAAGAATCAAAACCAACGAGAGTAGAGACGTTATCTTGACGAACATGAGTGATCGACTAGTCGAAAAAAAAATTAATTAGAACTAAGCAGCTTATCAAATGTTCCACCTGACTCTTAATAGAATCTAACGATCCGACGAGGCATAAAAGGAGTTGATCCCTGCATTTGACAACCTGTAGTGAAGTTTTTCCAATTGCAAGGAGGAGTTATGGTGGCTAAAGGCCTGCATCGAGGAGTTCTGGCGACTAGAGGCCGGCAAGGAGGATTTCTGGTGGCTAGGGTAAGATTCCTAGGAGTTACGGCTGATAGAGGCTTGCTGGGAGAAGTTTCGGCGGTTAGGGTAAGATCCTTAGCTATGATACCATGCAGGATTGGAGAATTGAGCAGAATACCTTTATTAATACAAATGTTGGCCTAAATATAGCTTACTAAAATCCTAAACTTAGAAAAGAAATAAAAACCATATCTCCTAAACTTAAGGAAAAAAATAACACCTATGTCTCCAAGATAACAAGAATCAAATCAAATAAACTAAAACCAAAAACTCCTATAATTAGTTGAACATGAAAGGAGATACATAAATAAGAAATAACATGAAATCACAGGAAATAAATAAAATCCTAATATAATTTATAACAGTTTATATTGCAACCTATTAAGAAAAATCTATAGCAGAAATTTTAATTTTAGATTATAAAATTTTACCTCCTATAGCCTAGAACAGATTGTGGGAAAAATAATGAAAAGCTCAATCAAGATCTTATGGTTTTGTCATCCCAAGTTATGAAAGAACATGTTCTACTTAATTAAAGAATGTAGTCAACCAACCTGACAGAATAATCCACATCAACTCATGAATTGCATCGTCAAAGAGAAAATCATAAACTTGAAGTGGATGCTTGTCTAAAAGATTAGTTTTAAATCAACATTAACTAGTAGAGAACTTTGTATCCTATCAAATACACTATTTCATAACTCAAAACTTTTAAAATTATTAGAGAACTTTTCGGCTTTGATCGTGAGTGTAATTTAATAGTAACATTTCACAACAAACTACCTAGGAAATGGTACAATCATAACCATTCACATTTGTGGTTTCATTTGTAAAATCAAATTGTCAGAAAACACATGTAATGTCCTTAATAACATTACATCTTTGAAAGTGATCAAAGAGATGTAAGGTGTACCAAATATAACATTCGCTCTTAACGAGTTTAGATTAAGCTTAAATATGTCATCCTTAATAAACAATTGTGAAGGTTGGATGATTGGTACTTTAATTTTAGACGAAGAAATTTTTACTTGAATATTTTAAAATTTATAATATTCTTAATATTTACTATTATTACATTATCTAAATTTTGGCTCGAAACAATATACCCAAGTTTTAGGAAGTTTTTAAAAGTAAAATCCCCTCCGATTGAGATTTAATTTGAATTCAACTATCATCAAGATATTTGAAATATTTCTTTTTTTTGCTTTGGACCTCTACGACTCAAGCTCACTTGACAACAAAAGATCATATTTATTTTTTAAAAAAAATTGAATTCAAGATTTGCATATGATTTGAATTCTTTTTCAAATTCATTGCATTCCATACATTGCCAACAAAATCTAGGGCTGTGAATTTAGCTCAAATATCATTAATCGCTCAAAAATTGATTCGAATTTTGGCTTGGATTCATATCGGATCGAAATAAACAAGCCGAGCTACAAAAAAAATTTTGAATCGGATCTTTTTTTTAGCAACGTATAGCCGTGAATTTAGCGAATTTAGTTCAAAGATCGTTAATCGCTTGCAAATTGATTCAAATTTTGGCTTCGATCGAGATCAACTCAAAACAAAAGAGTCGAGCTACGAACCAAAATTTTGGGATAGAATTTTTTTCGAGCCGGCCACAACTTGGCTTGAATCCGGATCATTAACAACCCTAATTATATCTTCATACTTAGAGAATCGGGCCTATGATTTCCATATGATTCAAATACATTTTAAGAATTTATTATAATGTACCTTGTCAACTATCTTAAATGTAAAGGATCAAGTCTAGAGATTAAAACTTGTGATTTTACTATATAATTTAAAAACTGAGAGTTTATATTGTGTAAATTAAATTTCAATATAAAAGCTTTATTGGCAACATGCAAATGTAAGACAATGATTTATGAAATCTAAGAGTATTCAGTTCTCGTATATAATTATATCAGTCAATTTGATTAGATCGAGAATAGAAGTTAAGAGCATTCTCAAGTTATAATTTACTTGAAGTTCACTACTTCGAATGTGTCAAAAGCTTCAATCTCATCAACTCTAATCCTTGTGAAGAAGAGAATTAGACTTACTAAGTATAACTTATGAACATATCCCATAGGCAAAACAACCCGCTTGAAAATGAATATAACAAGATAAATTTTCGCTCAATCTTTAAAAAGAAGTCTAGCTTTTTCAAAATAATTGCACATCCTTTCAAATATTCACAAGCAACATCATCCTCAAAACTTCAAATTTATCAGAGCAAATGTGAACTTGTTTAATTTAATAAAGAACTTGCACACAATTCAAAGCAACTTGGACAAGTGTTAAAGCATGAGATTGGACAATTGACTCAATTATATTTTTATTTTATACAAACATTCATGATTATTGTGTATGATTATGACTTTTATTAGTTCAATTCTCATATCATTCTCTGATTAAATTTATTCTGCTAAGCTAGTCACCTAGCAAGTCATGTCCATGTATATCGATACTCCCTTTTCTTTCCCTTATATTTTAAGCTCTAAGTTACAATTATTCATCTTATCGAGTATTATAGCTCACCAAAAAATATTTAAATAATTGTTTTATGTAAGAGGAAATAGCAAGTTGGGCTTTTGATAAGGTGATCAAATATTGTCTTTCATCTAAATGCTTTTGTTTTACAATCTTGGTGTATCAAAGAATAAGCATATTATAATGTATATTAAAGAGAACTGTCATATGTTCATCAAATGTATGAATTAGAAGGATGCTTTTGTAAATATTACTATGATGGACCTATTTAGTGATAATGAAAAGAGCTTTGGGTTTTATGGCAATCTAAGCATGATAGATTTTCTAACTATTTAATCCAGCTTCGTAAGAGTCATGATGGGCTTTGGAGAGAAATGTGTGTAGCTGGATTTTCTCTCTTCAACATCTTGTGCTTGACAAAGAGGGGTTGAAATAGGGCATGCCAAAAGCTTCCTTGCCAACCAAATAAAAGATCTAAAACAAAACCGTAGGAGGTAACTCTTCTTAAAAGAAAAAGAAGGTTAAGAAATCAATCTCATACAAGGAAAAAAATCAGCTACTCTAGGAAGCATGCATGTTTCATTTGATTAAGAGTCAATAAGAGTAATAGTATATAGAAAGTACTCCTGCCAATAAGTTCACCAAAATAAAATAAATAAATAAAAGTGAAGCAATTATATTTACTTCATTAAAAAAATTGGTATGCTCTACATCATGCAAATAATTGCAAAAAAAATCAATATTTTCCGTAAGAAGTAATTTGTTCAATAATATGAAAGGCAAAAATATCAAATATCATACAATTTTGTAGTAATAAAATTAGGTTATCATAACTATAGGACAGGTATGTGAAACTCCAAGAATAATGAAAGAGATTATTTACCTGTGATTCGTGAGCATCACGTATGGATCTATCTAATTTGTTATACATCTCCGCATCAGCTGTAGGTGCACCATCAAATGATGCCATCACAAAGCGATCATCATACCTAACAAGAAAAATATGTTAACACTTACAAAAAAGTAACTAAAAAGTCAACAAATTCACTGAATATTTGAAGAAAAAAGGTTGACAAATCAACTGAAATTGTGATATCAAAGTAAATAAATAGCCAAAGAAAATAAATTAATATGTTAAATGAAGCTGTCTTGATGTAACAGAAAATTGAAATGCAAAATGATGTCATTTAGAAATAGGAACATTAAATTCCCTGTAAAACACAATTCCATTCCAACACAAAAGTTTCATGATAAGCTTGGATGTAGTTGAAATCCTAATTTTATCTCCCTGGAATCAGTGCAGGCTACTCAACCTAAAGGTTCGGTGCTTTGTCTCTGACCACAAGATTTTTAGTTTACCACCTAGCATTTACGCCCATGTGCATGAATTTGAAAAAAAAAACAAAAATAAAAATAAAAATAAAAAGTAGAACCTCCCTTGAATATGTAAATGATGTTTATTCCCTAAATAAGCATATTTTAGTTACAGTTACTCAAATCATCACAGAAGTTTATTTTTCTTCCAACCATCTGGAGAAGCACCTGGTTGCTTTAATAAATTGTCATCATAATCATTAGATATTCCAAATATTTGGGTTTTAGCTTAATTTCTCTGCACCCTAAATTTAGTAGGGATAAGTAAAAAGGAAAATTAAACATTCACGTAAGTTTTTAGCAAAAGATTCATATTAAATGACCCAACAAACAGACAGGACATGATTGTTGCATTATAATAACTGTGAAATAATAACCTAGAAAGCACGATGCAGATCATGTTAAGATGAGTAGTTCATTAATGCAAACCTAGTATGAGATGTAAAATAAAAAAAAAGACCTCAATAAGCAATTTCCCATTCTTGATTTTAGCAAAGATTACTATAGTTTGATGCAAAATAAAAAAAACTTCATTCGTCTAATCGATAACTAAAACGGTGGTCAAATTTTGAAATTCCCAAAGGCATCTAAGTTTTAAAAGAAATTTTATGACAATAAGATTCACACCAGAAAAAAGGTAAACGGTATGCATCAAATTTGGAAAAAACCTCAATGACGCACCATTCCAAAATCATTTCAAGCGAAAGAACAATGATATAAATTACCAATTGGAAGATCCAAGCATCACACTGGTACAAGGAGAATCATCTAGTATAGCGTGAAGAATTTGTATCCAGCAGCACCCAAACATATTAAAAAAAATTTGAATTTTCACTAAGCCTTAAACTAAACTTTAGAAGCCAAAAGGATCATAATTGGTAGTTCCTACAGAATTCAAGAGTTTGACTAAAAGAGAGTGAAAAATAGCCTCAACAAGAAAGCAGCGCTTAAAGAAAAAGAAATCAGTCCCTCTGGCTATTTCCAAATTAGTGACATCGGCTACAGTTAGAGCATGTTAACACCACTCCATCAGTGGCAATCAGCATTGATGGGCTATGATCTCTGCTATAGTTGAGAATAACTTGCTCAATAAAATAGTCTAAGACAAATAAAGAAGCAGCAGCTGAATAAAAGCTAACAGACCACAGGAAGCCTGACTCCATCAGGGACCAAAACAGCAGCAATAGAAAAGTAAATAGTGGCGATAACAAGGATCTGACTTCATCAATAGAAAACTTCCAGAACAATCGCTGGACCACAAACAGAGAATCAATGACTACAGAAAACTAAACAGAGGGAACCATCAAAGGACTGAAGAGATCAAAAGAGCATAACTCGTTCTCAGTAGAATGACTACCATAGGCATGTATTACAAGAAAATAAATTAGGCAAACCGCAAACATAAATTAAAGCTCTGAGACAACTAATTATATAACACGCATGAATTGAGTTTCAAATAAATAAAACCTTCAGTTAGTGTCAAAAAATCAAGCAGCTTTAATAATCCAGAAATTATGAGCACCAAAACATTCAAATATGGTAGTACTGCTTTATAAATCCTCAACAAGTTGATCCACAACAAAGCTAAATTCGTTTCAAACCTTCTATAGTACCCATCAGACTGCTAATTTACGTTTCCAAGTGCAAGAGATTCAGCATTTATTACAAATACAGGTTAATGTCAGGATAAAATCACAACTGGATGTCTACAAGGAGCCCACAATGCTAATGAAGTAAACTTATTAACTTAATAACACAACAACATTAAATTACCGCTCAAAATCAGGTAGCAAAGGCATAATCTTCACAGGTTTCAATGAACGATTTGTTTGGTGTACAGGAGGTAAGTTGGAAGCCTTAAAAGATTCTTCAATAGCCTGAATCTGCTTTTCTCTGGGTATATACAGAATATCTTAATAAACACAAATGGCAGTGGACAATGTTTTGAAGTATTATGGCCTAGAAAAAATACAATAACCTACCTACTATTCAGGTTTTCTAAAAATTGATTCCGACCTTCCCTGGACTGTCGCATTTCTTTTGCTTGCTTCTCAGACATGGACTGGCAATACCAAAAAAAAAACATAAGCTTGCAAACTAAGCCAGAAATTTGACTGAAGAAGTGAAAATTACAAAATTGTTGCAGGAGCATATGTCATACCGTTTTGGCAGTGTCCAAGCTAAAAGAGGATATATATTCTGTATTAACCAACCATGAAACCCCCTTTTCTGTGGGGCGATCTTTCTTTCGGATACCGCCTTGTTTAACAGGAGTTTCTACCTCAGCGTCGCGCAATAACTCCTCATCTTCTGGAGCAAGGGGCGGGCAAACAGCAGGACGACTAGATATAGACATTAATTAATCCACCATGCATAATCAATATGATGGAAACGAAAGAGGAATGGCTCATTAGTAGAAGATTCCATACTTGTACACGCTAATGTCAAGAAGGTCAAGAGGAATTCCAAGATCTGTCTCTGGATAAAGTTTGGGCTTGTAAATTTTCTCCAATGAAGTAATAGTATACTTTGTATATCTGTAACATCATGGAAACATTTATAGTTTCAAAAGCAAGACTATTGACATACAAATAGAAATTTAGAAGAGAACAGATATTCTGGAAAGGAATTCCCAGAGAGCATATTCCTATCATAGAAGTGACATAAATAAATCTGACAGAACAATAGCAAAATAACTAGAGGTTCGGTGCCAAAAATTCAAATGTCATAATGAAAAATTTCTTTTTTGAAATAAGAAATTATGGATCATGCAAGCCTCATTAAATATATTGGTGAAAAGAAAATTACCTCAAGCATATGAACAACATAAATACAAGCATTCAAAAATCAAAAGGATACCGGTGCATATAATGAAATAAAAACATGACTGTTTGCATCAAATGAAATTATTTGAACCAATGATGAATGTAATGATGCATTGCCGAGGCAAATACAACCACATGAAGCATAGTTTAGATAGTTCCCTTAGCAAAAACAACAAAAAGAATGCAGCACTTTATAGCTAAAATTAGAGAAATACTTTATTAAATATACTAATGGAAAGGAAAAAAAAATTGCAAACAAATGAACAACATAAATACAAGCATTCAACAACAACAACAAAGCCTTAATCCCACTACGTGGGGTCGGCTACATGAATCTTTTTTTTCTCCATTGCATCCTATTTAGTGTCATATTTTCATTTAGTTCTAGTACATTAAGATCATTTTTAATTCAATAAGCCCAAGTCTTCCTAGGTCTACCTCTGCCTTTCTTAACACAAGTCGAATCTAAAACATCTACTCTCCTAACCGGATCATTCGATGGTCGACGTTTGATATGACCAAACCATCTAAGACGACTTTCTCTATTTTTTTCCATTACAGGAGCTACACCAACCCTATCACGAATATATTCATTTCGCATTTTGTCTCTTAGTGTAAAGCCACTCATCCACCTAATCATTCTCATTTCGGCAACACTTAACTTATTATTATGCTTCTCTTTTAAAGGCCAACATTCAGCGCCATAGAGCATTGCAGGTCTCACCACCGTCTTATAAAATTTTCCTTTCAGTCTTAAAAGGCCTGAAGCATTCCTCCACTTCAACCAACCAACTTGAATTCTACTATTAACATCCCCATCTATATCACCATCGCTTTGAACAACGGACCCAAGATATCTAAATCGTTCACACCTTTTAATAATTTAATCACCCAAACTCACACTTCTGTCACTAGAGCTATTAGACTCCAAACAAAGGCCTTTAATACAAGCATTCAACAAATCAAAAAACTATGTGTGCATATGATCGAAATGAAAATCATGCCTGCTGGCCTTAAATGAAACTACCTGAACCATAAGGCATTGCTAAGGCAAACATCGCTGCATAAAGCATAGTTTAGAAGATTCCGTTAGCAACAACAATAAAAATTGATACAGCATTTTATAACTAAAAATTAGAGAAAAATATAGTAGGCAAAATATTCAGAAACTTTTTTATTGAAAGACCATGAATAAGTTAAAAAATAGAAATGACATGTTTAGAATAATTATTTAACTACACCTATGTTATTTCCTACATGAAATTAATAGAATGATATGTTGGGAAACTTCAACTTGAATGCTGGATGAATATATCAAATACTATAAAGACCGTATTCCAGATAAACTTAAAAGAACTAATGTTTGAAACTTTGATAACTCACAATTATAAGTGCTAAATTACACCATATCTCATGTATCATTTACATATATATATATACTTTTTCACTCATTGCCTTAGCATAAAAATCGCTTCCGATAAGGATCTTCACAACAATAAAGTAAATCGATTCGCTACTTTTGATGAGAATTTTGTGAGTCTAAACTCAATTATTACTTTTAATATATTCATTGTAAGACACATAATTTTAATTTTCCTGTAATAACCAAAATTTTTAGCATTTCTTTTATTCTCAATCATTAAATTGAAGTGCTTAAAATTATCAGGCATCCTTTTAGCTTTTAAAATTCATTAAAAAATTTATAAAACAAACTACCCCAATATCTCCCATATCTTGACAAATCTCTAAAAAAAAATCCATATGAGCCTATAGCTCAATTTAATGCATCATCTCTAAATATAGTTCAATTTAATCTTTTAATATCAACCTATCATCATACTCAATGGACATGTAGTAGAAACTGCACCTTTACAATGAAAAAATATAGAGTGTGTCAAAGAACTAACAAAAAGAGGGGCATATCAAAAGTATAATGATAATGTTGTAAGAAAATTAAGTTCAAAAGACATCATATATGCTGCAAAAATTATTAGGAATGATTGTATAATGAGAATTCATAAATCATGAAAAGTTAGAATTAGAATTTTAATAATGATGATGACAATAATGTACACATCATGATTATACTCAGTACGCTTCTTCATAAAAAATTTCTTTTTTAAAAATCACTAAGTAAATTCTCAAAATAATATGTTCAAGCTCCTTGATGTCTTCGATTTTAACTAAGATCCAAGTATTTATACTTCTACTGCGACGAAGCTGCATTTAGCCCCTTTTAAAAGCAAAAACAAAGGAACAAGCAGTGTTTTTTGTTTTATGTTTAATTAATTATACCAGTAGAGCATTTATATATTAAAGCAATTAGTATATCTTTCAAAAGGAAATAAGTATCAAATCATCATTATATCATTTGCATATCGAAGTGTGTCTATACATTTATAAGATTCAGAAAGGTAATACATGTTTGATTGCTTATCTTTCAAAAGAAAGGATTGTTTTATAATTATTTAGGCTTTGGCTTTGCATCAAATCAAGAACACAGTAAATGGCACGGAACGCATTAATGAACGTGTTACGGAATGCAAGATCAAGTTCGCTGAATGCAGACGGGTGGTATTGCATTTTCCCATGATCACAAAAGCGGACGGAATTCCGACCCGCTAAGCCTAAACCGGGGCTTTTTCGCTCAGATTTTTTTATTCCAACCAGTTTTTCTTTCTTTTTCTGATTTCTTTTCTATCTTCTTATTTCTAATTAGGTGCTTTTTATTGTGAAACTATTTATATATTTTGCTTTTTGTTTTGAGGGACTTTTGCTTGAAGTTGAGTATTTGGAAATGGTAATCTCAATTTCTACCCTAAGGAGTAACGTGTCATTTTCTTTTTGCAAGTGATGTGTTTGTATCTTACTTACAAATAAGTGGCGGAACCTTCTTGCCACCCGTATCTCACTGTATCGCAGTCCAACTTGCTGATTTCAGCCAGAACAGCCGCTGACCACGTTGAACCTGCTGTCCAACAGCAGATTTATTCCATAATCCCTTCCAAACACAGTGGACCACACATATTTACCTTCCCTCCTTATTCCACAACGACCACCCCTCAAAATTCACTACCAAAATACCTTCTAAGTACCCTAGAACGGTATCAGTAAATGAAACAGTTGGTATAAATATTTTTTTTGTGAGAAAACTAAATACTAAAAAATAGAAATAGTAAATCCTATGCATAAGAAAATAAATAAAAATAGTGACACAACAATGAATATCATCAAATAGAGAAAGAAAATCAGATATAGTACCCCCCAAAAAATAAATATACAAGAAAAAGACTAAACCAAGTAGAAAAGAAGTTCAGCTTCACCTAACATGATTCATAAAGTGGATGAAAACTCATGTTCTCGCATTCCTCTGGTGTGGTAACAAAGATATGCAGAGTATTCAAAAATCTATGCCAGATATTAAAAAATCTTCTTTGTTTTAGACAAACCAAACATAGGTTAAAAACTTACAGCTAAGCAAGCTTGATTTACAACAAAAGTATAAGAATATTCAACAACTAAGAGCACGAGCTTTGAACAAATAAGAGGTAGTGGAAGAAAAATACCAAAAATAGATCTTCAACTAAACTGGATCAAATATTATACCCACAGATTGAGAATAGGATAAAGCTTTTGGGTAATTGTAATCTTTCAGATTTTAAAGCAAAGTGGCATTGTTAAGAAGAAAAATCATGAGTGAACTGAAAAGAGATAAGTGAGGATTCACTCACTCAAATTTATGGTAATTAGCTTACACATAACAATTAAGAAATCACTCGTTCAAAGGAGCTCAGAAACCCATTACAATGGCAAAATACTCACCCAAATAAAACTAATCTCTCGCTCTCTTGTTCTTAAGCTTTCCTCAAAAGCCCTTGCAAATGAGAGCCTTTTAGAGCATCAAACATGAACTCTAAGGCCAATCAGTAGTTGACGTTTGGAAGTACAATAAATTAGGTGGTTTGAAAGCAAAATTTGAAGGCCATAGCACAAAACTAAGAAATGGCGATTTGGTTTTATTGAAAATTCTTTAATTATAAATCTCAATCCACTCACAAGTGTGTGTGTGATGGTGGTGAATGATAGAAGCAATTAATGAGCAATCCAATAACAAATAGCAGAAGCAAGACAAAATATTAAGGAGCTAGTGTGATAAAAGTAAATGCTAAAGACAACAGGCACACTTATATATAGTGATTCAGCCCTAACCCAACCTATGTCCTCACCACAAGTTCTCTTTCTCAGGTTTTCCAATGATTACTTTGCAATCTCCGGAGGAGAAGCATTGTTACAATCCCCAATGCTTCTACTTTAAAGTGAGAAGCAAACACCGTTAGCATCACTTGGCTAGGTTGCATGCAAAATAGTTATAAGTTTTGTTTTTGAAAAAAAGAATTCATTCCTACATACTTTTTCTAAAAAACGAAAAATTACAGTTAGATGTTTCTATAAAAGCATGATTTAATGATACAATAAAATTAACCAAAATGCTTTTTGATAACAAATGAATTAGCAAACATGTACCAAATAATGAGCTCAAAAAACACTTCTGAACATTTATAAAATTATAAAAGGATGATGCGGTTAGCCACGCCATCCTATCTACTCAACCCTCACAAGGTTCCTAAAAAAAAATTAGACATCTGAAAGACAACTAGTTTCACAGCTTTGAGCTCGAAAACTAGCTATTAGAGCATTACAAAATATGTTTAATAGTGAACAAACTTTTTAGGACTCATGAGGCTAAAACAATTAGCATCCAATAGATACTTCAATATCCTTACTTCTATGTATCTCATCCTTGAGTTTAATGTTTAGAGAAGCACCTCCCATATCATTGTTGATTTACGTTTCTGAAAAATGCTTGACACAATAAATAATAAGAAACACTTTGATACTAATTTGACATAAAAAGGAAGAGAAGCATAATTAAAGGTAGATAAGAAGGGAGATTTCATTACTCCAAAAGAAAATTTAAATGAGAAAACTAGCGACTCAACCAAAGTGTGAGGACTCTATCACCCATAACATTCAAGGATTCATTTGCCCAAAGGAAGTCACTCATCTATTACATTGGGAAAGCACCCAACTAAATAAGCAGAATCTCTTACTTTCTCATCCTTAATCTCTCCTCTAAAATCCTTAATATCTAAAACTTTTATAGCATCAAATATGAACTCTTTTGCAAATTAAATAAGGTCATGGTATAGTTTAGCATGGTCCAAGTTTGAAGGAACATGCAATCATGTAGCGCATCCGTTGCTGCCTAAGGATCACATTTTTCTTTCAGTCTCAAGTAAAAAAAAGATACTTGAATGATGTTTGCTGCTTATATAGATCAATAATGTGTTCTATTAAATTCACAACAAATAAAGAGAAGCACATCCAAAAAGCAAAGAGTAAAGCTTCCGTGTAATTAAAGGAAGTAGAATACATAGATCTGAAAATGGAAAAATCAGTGTCTCAAAAAAAATTGTGAATTTCCAACATCACAATTGCTAGGGTTGCTCATAAACATCACATTCTTAAATATTAAATACCTAAAGTCTCAATAGAAACCCGTATCCAAATTTTTATATGTACCAAGCCAGCAAAATATTCACTTGAAATGAGACCAAAAGATTGAATTTTGGATAAATATAGCATATAAACACTGAAAAAACTTGAAATTTGGGTTTTGATTTGCATGTATATTACATGTTTTGCTAAATATAGTGGTTGCAGATTCAAAACCTATCAATACAATTCGGATGATGATGATCTTTTCCATTCATGCATGAATGCATAAATGAAAACTAAAGATAAAAAACAATCAGTGGTGGTAGAAACAAGACAACACTTTTAAAAAGTAGCTTGTGAAAAAATATCTTATGCATAAAATTAAATAGAAACAAAAATAGTTGCATGAATAAAATAATTAATAAAATTGGCCCTTTTCAAGTTAAATGTATCAAATATGAATTAATATGGATGATAAACATACCGATCTTTATTGGTATTCATAACTAATAACTTTGGTTGAGCGGTTGGATCTGGCAACTCATTCCTGAACCTGCGTTAAAGAGGGATGAATTTCCATGTCATGCTTTGCAGAACACCAGAACAACACTTATTTCTATTAATGAACTAACACATAATGATAATAAGAAAATACCTTTATTGGGGAATTGCAAAAGTAAAAAAGAAATGTATTTACTATTTAACTTAATCGGCCTACTACTACTAAATAGAAAAGAAATGTTTTTCCAAGATCTCCATCCACCATACAATACAATTCCTGCACCAAAATACGCTATGCTCTCTCTCCCTCTCTAGCGTAGAAGAGCACACCTCTCCCTACCTATAAGAAAAATCTTGATGCACGGTTTTCAAAATGATAAAAATAAAAAAGAAAAATTTTTTTCAGCAACTAATAGTGTTGGTCGGCATGGCAAGGTTAAAATCCACCTCATTAATAATGTTGTGCTTAGCAGCATTTTCTTTTAAGAAGTTGTTTAAGTAAATTTAAAATTATGCTTTATGGATTATAGTTTATATAAAAGCCTCAAATTTACTTGCCAAATATAATGAATATTTTTATATTTATAATTTATCATTCTTTATAATTACATATAAGTGTTAATGCATTGATTGATCAATTCTGATGATATCAAATTGGATTTAAAGTATATCATGACAACTATAGTATTAAAAGAATAAAAAAGTTACATTAGTTAAATTTAGAATATAAAGCTAAATAGATTTTAATAAAATGTTAGCTCTTTAGAAATTTCATACCAAAATTTTAATATTATGTCAAAGAGTAGAACGAAGAGAAACATTAACTTTTTAAGCATACAGTTTATAAGTTTAAGCATAACGATATTAGTTATATGGATTTGATAAATGTAACTTTAGAAATTATGAGAAAGCCATTTTGAAACCAAGCACTTTATTCGATAGTAAATTTTCAAATGCAGTTTTTTTTTATTTCAGTGTAACTTGATTTGTATTTCATAAATATGGAATATACTTATTGTGGGTGATGTGAGTGAAGAAGGCTGGGAGACACAATCATTTAATTATTGGGTTTTTTTCTGTTTTGTTAAAATATTTGCATGATACAAAAATTAACTTACCTTAAATACTAAATTCAATATTCTATTTCAAAATTAAAAATGATTGCCTATGCTTTTCAGGTGTGTTTGGACAAGTGTTCTACTTTCTCACTCATCATCAAATATTATAGGCACACCATGCAATGCAACTCCAGCACCAAAGCACACTATGCTCTCTCTCACTCTCTAGCACAGAAGAGCAGCACTACCTAACTATAAAAAAAATTCCGACATGTGGTTTTCAAAATGAAAAAAATAAATAATAATATTTTTCAACAAATAAAAGTGTTGGTCGACATGGCAACATTAAAATACTACATTATCCATATGTGTGTGTGTGTGTGTGTGTTTAAAAAAGATTGGCAAAAGACTATTATACGAGTCTCCCGACCAATCTCATGTGCCTAAGAATTTCATCCCGCACATGGGCAGTATCGAACCCGTGACCCCAGGGGTCTTACAAACTCTGTCAATCAAAGAGTCACAGAAGGCACCATA